ATTCAGTGCAGTAACATTTTGTGTGGATTTGTGTGCGAGGCCGAGATCCCACTAGCAGGCTGGCTGGGCCGCCTGTCGACCAGCCCGGGAATCGCATGTAGGCCGATAGCATAATAATTATAACGTATATAGATGTATAGCAGGGAGTCGTATTATGTAAACGACTCAGTGCTGTCTAGGGAGATTTTCTTGAAAGAAATACGAAGTAGGGAGATGAAGAAATGCAATTAGAATGGACGTTAGTTGCCGAATATGTGACATGATGCGTCAGCTAAAACAACCTTTGGAAGAGAGATCCCGTCGTCTCCAAAATAATCCTGAACGGGCGAGTCAGCGCCAGTCACAGGAAACGTCGGAAGAGAGATCCCGTCGACTCCAGAACGTCCGTGATCGGCAGAGTCAGCGCCGGTAACAGGAAACGTCGGAAGAGAGATCCCGTCGACTCCAGAACATTCGTGATCGGCAGAGTCAGCCCCGGTCACAGGAAACGGCAGGACAGACATCGCGTCGACTCCAGAACGTCCGTGATCGGCAGAGTCAGCGCCGGTCACTAGGGGTGTGCGGATAATGCTCAAAAAGGTGGCAGATTCTGCTCGAAAAGCAGTGAAATTGGCAGAACCATACAAACCTATGGCGGGCAATTCCTCGAATTCTGCTCCATTTCTTTATCCACATACCAAACATGCAGGAAACTTACCAAAAAAGTACCGAATTTGCCAATTTTTCTGCCGGCATTATCCGCATATGCCTACCGTTCACAGGAAAAGAAACAAAAAAATTAAAAATTAAAAATATACAAAAAATATTAACGCCGTAGCAACAGACGTTACTTCAGTATCGTTTGGCGCTAGCCAGGGTTCACACGGCTTTGGCACGTCACATGCATGATGAGCAAGCAAAAAAGCATAGCGTAGGGCCCTGAGCTTCCAAGCTCTCTCGTTTATTATTATTATTAGCTTTTATTTTACTAGGGTGTTTCCCACAGACCTGTGGTCTTCTTACGGGAGCCCCTAGGAAGGTTAACTTACTTGGTCAGTATGAAATAAAAGCCGAGTAAAAGATCTAGGCTTCGCCTCGGTCTTTTACTCGACTTCAAGTCGCCTCGGTCTTTTTTACTCGGCGTTTATTTCCTATACTGACCAAGTACGAAGTCAATACTAGATTTATCACGACAGACCGTCCGTCCGTATTTCAAATTCCAGAACGATAACCTCATGAATCCCGGTTTTATGATTGCACCATCACCTTGTTTTAGTGCCTTTCCAGTGTTCTATGTGTATTTGCACCCCTGGTTCTCAATCTTTGTTCTTCCTCTCCTGTGACTTAAAAAAATCTCAGATTTCGAGTTTTTTGCACTCCATACATAATTATATTTTCATTATTTTTTTATTGGTTTGGTGAGACTCCCATGATAGGTATGCATTTACCTCTGGAGAATCCGTAAATAAACAAACAAACAAACAAACATCACCTACTCATACAGTGACCATGTACATAATTGTTAGATTGACAGCATGAAACAAGGAGGAGGACACTGTGTTCGAAAACAGTGACCTTACTACAACCTTCCGCGGTTGGCAGAGCCCCGGTCCCAATGGTGAAGGCCTACCCATGGCCACGTCGGGACATCACCAACCCCGTCTACAGGGCGCACCTTCTCGCGACAGTGTCATGGTGATGACAAAAAACTGTTTACAGCTGACGAGCTGAGAGAAGGACGCCATGGGCAGAAGTTGGAAAAAAAAGAGAAAGAAGTTTTATACAAGTTAAAAAAGAGCGAAGACAACAAGACGACATCAAGAGTAGTCTCTTAACCCCCTACGGGCCCTAGCATAACGAGGGTCAGAACCGGGTGCGATACCCATATGATTCAAATGGTCCGCAGGGACCGGGGCTCTGCCAACCGCGGAAGGTTGTAGTAAGGTGACTGTTTCCGAACACAGTGTCCTCCTCCTTGTTTCATGCTGTCAATCTAACAATTGTGTGAACTAATAATAATAATAATAATAATAATAATAATAATAATACCACAGCACGCGTAATAATATAATTATGTGGGTATAATTATACGTTCCGCTTCTGTCCTATCTCCTATGATCAAATTCCATTATCAAGGTAATTATTAACACGGCGCACTGATGACCTGTGACGCCAGATCATGGATTGTCGGCCAGATTTCTCCATGTAAGCTTGTCCAGAGCGATGGCCCTCACATTCCCCAGCTGACTGCTGCGCTTCAAGTCGATGTTCCTCCTCTGTAAGTCGCTTGTGATGCGCGTCGCAATGGATGTCCGTGAACTACAACAAGGTTTATCTAATACTGGTTTTTAACCAGTTTTGGATTATATCAGACAGTGTACATGTACGTGTATGGGCTACTGTATGCTGCTGTACGGATTATGTCATTATGCCATTATGTCATTGTTGCACAACCCGGCAAAGCACAGTGACCATGCGTTGACGGTGCCTGCAATGTGTAGCCTGTAGGCACAGTTCAACTGGTCACAGTAGTAGTAGTAGTAGAATTTATTATTTTGATAGGTATAACTGCGCCACCCATAAGCAGGCAAATAATTATAAGCAGTCACCATAGCCTATAGGAGTGAAATATGCAGGAATACTTGACCGCACTAGTCTAGATATGGCATGTTCTCTATTTCTTTCCTTGGCGCTGATACTCATAGGTGGAATTCTCTGCCTGTCTCGTGTCGTCAGGTTGAGCATCTATCCGTTTTTGTCCCGCTCTGTAAAGAGCACTTAGGGTTCCCTGTAACAAGACGGTAACGTCTGTAGGGCCTTCCGGGAATTCCCTATCAAAATAATAAATTCTACTACTGTACATGATGATTGTAGTACTAGTACTGCTGTTGCTGCTTAGGTATATAATTATAGCGACAATCAATGGGAGTCAATACTTGAGACTGAGTTGAGTGATACTGGTAGATCAGAGTATCAGAACTAGGCCAGGGTCTGTGAGTCTGACTGGGTGTATTGTAGGTCATCTAGACAACGCTCCCTGGTGCCAGTGGTGGTACTTGGAGACAGTGCCAGTGCCCAGTGGAGTGTTCTGCCAAACGCAGACCACCACTGGCACCACCAGTGCCCTGCACAGCATGCATGCAGCCATTGCAGGGCCACGCAACTGAACGGAGTGGAGAGTAGAAGATGCAATACAGTGCTGGCAACTGAAATCCGACCCCTTACTGGCCTTAGCGATGCGTTCACATTCTAGCCAAGCGGTCTCTATTTTTCGTAGTTTTACTATCCTGTGTTGTGTCTTTGCGATGTGAGCGCACCACCGCTCAGGGGTCGGATTTCAGTTGCCATCACTGTCATACAGTCAGTACCAGAGAGTCGTAAACAAGTACTGTATTTTACGACTCCCTGGTCAGTACAGTACTTTTTTTTTTTTTTTTTTTTTTTCAGGGGATGGCCCACGCCTGGTAAAAAATAAATAAATAAAAACAAAAACAATGAGGAGCATTAAAGACAGTCAGTGCAGTGCGCACATGTTCACCGGTTTGAGTGCTACGCACATGCCACAGTTCAGAAATGCAAATTGCACTCAGCAGCCACCAGTTCGGTCGATGATGGTTGAGCTACTGCAACTCTGCTCCGGGACCGGTGTCCTCGGAGGGCCATAATGGCCGAGCGAAGAAGGGCGAACCCCAACCTGCATCTGATCCATGCCATTGTGATGGAGTAAGGCTCATGCTGTCAGTAGTACTAGTACAGTAGTACAGTGTACTTACAAGATACGCGCAGGTCACTGGTTCACTGGTCGTCCTTGGATTTTTGGAGAGCGTGCCTCACTACCAGAGATCAACAATCAACAGTCACCATACCGACGTAGTATACTAGTAACGACGCACCCACAACATCGTCAACACGGTAACAGCTAGCGCTATCGCGCGGTCGAAGAACGACGCCAAGAACTGCGCTGCCTACACAAAAAATGGAGCCAATGCTTCAGCCTACAACAGTACAAATGTACAAGTATTTTGTTACTAGTAGTTAGTTTACCATGTTTACTGTTTAGGGTTAGAGGTTTAGTATTTTCAGTTCGTTTTCTTTGTATTTCCTCATTGTTTTTTTACCAGGCGTGGGCCATCCCCTGACTTCATAGGTGCCAAACATTTTACGTTTTTCATTTCTATTTTGAGAGTTAATAAAAATTACCGCCTGCCAAAAAAAAAGTTAGAGTTTTAGTACTTTTTTACTGCAAGGCAGCACAAGCACTGCAGCACAAGCAGAGCCTAGCGAGTCGTAAATACCGGTATGTTGCGACTCCCTAGCTAGGCCTGCTACTTTTTAAAGTAACACATCGTCACAAAGCTGACACTATGTGACAGGGACGATAAATCCATACCGGTATCTCACAAAAGAGTGGAAACAAAGACTAGCTCGCGTAGTCGTAGGAATGCGACAGTCATGTGCCTGAGCTGAAACTAGTGAAAGTGAAATGCCACTTCGTCTTGGTGAACATGGACGTAGCAGGGTCGACGGAGGCTCTAGCTACATCAGTACATGGCATGTAGTGATGTAGCTAGCTAGCGACTAGAACTAGATCAGCGCCGTACTGCCCGTATTATGGCCCTGGGCATACGTCTTAGTTAGAGTTAGAGCTTGAAAAACTCTCATTCCATAATTTATTTTTTCATGATTCGACCAGAAACCTACGCCTACGGAGCTAGCTAGCTGTAGATCGACGTGAAGTCTAGTGCCAGTACTCATGGTACTGACGTGCACGCGTGCACACACAACTCAGTACATGATGTACTGACAGAGTACTGAGTAGTGCTAGTGCCAGTGCAGTGGTCAGAGCTAGAGAAGGAGTCTGAATGACTTCTCATAGTAGTACTAGTACTACTACTACTAGTAGTAGTAGAATCTACTGACTGTCTGTGTGTAATGCGGGTAGACACGATGTGCAGTACAGACTACAGACAGTTATGTAGTCTACATACAGACTACAACAAGTGAGTGCATGCTAGTACAGTCAGTACATTGTAGTAGCTGTCGTTTTATTTGGTGCTCCAAGTTTGGCCTGAATAATACAAATAGGGCAGGTCAGGGCAAGGTGGAGAGGCTGACTTCCTTCCTTTAGGGCTCACTGCGAAGACCTCCGATCCGTGAAGCTTTGGCCAGGCGTCCTGAGCTGAGCAAGGGTGGCTGTACCCTTTCAGTTACAAAGATCTGTATCGACTCACTAACGATCGGTATCGAGTCGCCAAAAAATATTGAAGATATGGACGGTGGGGGACTGTCAGAGCGGGTGGCGGATTCCCCCGCTCGCTTATCGAATGGCCTTCAGTCGTTAGGCGCAGCAGCTGCACCAGCTCCCAAGCCCAAGCCACCGGTGCGAGCAAAGCCAGCGATGGCCAACTCTTCTGAATCTTCGAGCAAGCCAGTGGTTCGTCGCAAGCCAGCAGCGGGAGCAGAGAAAGAACAACAGACGCAGCAACGACAAGAAGATGAGCAGAAGCGAAAATCAGCAACACTACCAGCAGATCAAACCCTCAAAGCCGAATTGGACAGCGAACTGCTACTAGCTCGCCAACAACACGGCGACGACATGCCAGCCCTAAGACCTAGAGCGCACACGGCTGACAATCCGTCAACGCCACCACGACCGCGTCGTCAGCTCGCTAGCGCTACGGGAGTGGAGCGCCAGCAGCGCAGCTCGCTAGACGACCAGCTCAGCGCGCTGGAGAGCGAGAGCAAATGGGCCAGCGGCAGTCAAGACGAAACGTCGACAGCAGCCGCAGCATCTGTACTGTCTGTGGACGGAGCTCGGGCGCGTAGCAATTCGAAATTGTCTTTTCGGTCTCGGAGCGAGTCGACGGCCAAGTTGGCGGACCAAGCAGCTATGGAGGAGATGAGGACTTGGTTCTCGCAGCTAGGACTGCCGCAGTACGCCGACTCGTTCATTGTGAATGGCTACGATGACCTATCAATGTTGGGGTAAGCGAAACGCAGTTTTTTTTAATGATAACGATAATTAAATAGAATAGGCGACTTCATTGAGATGGAAATAATTTCTGTTTGAATAGAAACTCGCCCGGGGAGAAAGCACTGCTTGTTTTATTTCCTTTCCGAAATTCGAAATCGTCTGTACCAGCACGCTTCCTGGCCGCGCAGCCCGTGGCGTGATGATGATAGCTGTAGTCTGTGACATGACCGCATCAGCAGCAGCTGGACCAGCAGCACTGCCACTGCTGCAGCTCAGCCGAATGCACAATGGTATAAATCTGCAATAAGTGAATCATGATGTTTTGTACAGTTTGACACGGTGACACGCAATTATTTGTAGCTACATGGCCATGCCAAGCGATTGGCAGCAGGTGGTACCATGGTGGCACTGCCACTGCCTGGATGACCAGCTGCACCTGCAGCATCAGTAGCACCAACACCAGTTGGTCACTGTGATCTACAGCCTGTACAGGCCGTAACGGGGCTGCCAGCCTTCCCCCGTGTGTTTTGCCGTATTTGTACCCAGGGAAAATCACTCCTTCGTCCTAAACCCCTCTGCCAAAGCGAGTGTACTGTACGACCAGTAATGTTAACGAACGTTTAATTCCCGTAGCTATGCAGAAGACGTTACTTCAGTAACGTCTGGCGCTAGCCAGGGTCCACACAGCTTTAATTTGGTGTTTGTTTGTGTGTTTGTTTGTTTGTGTCACGCCTGGCGCTATCCCGTATCTGTCCCGTACTGTACCGTACCAGCAAAGCCACAATATTTTTGTTTGTTTGTGCCATCGACATGCCTGGCGCTATCCCGTGCCTGTCCCGTACCATCAAGAGTACGGTACCATCAAGAGAATGAGTATATATGCGAAGTGTATCGGGGGAATGCATTCAGTGCAGTAACATTTTGTGTGGATTTGTGTGCGAGGCCGAGATCCCACTAGGAGGCTGGCTGGGCCGCCTGTCAAACCGCCCGGGAATCGCATGTAGGCCAATAGCATAATAAATATAACGTATATACAGTCATGTAGATGTAAAAAGCATTTCCATCAGTTCTAACAACATGCACGATGAGCTAGGCAACACAGCATAGCGCAGGGCCCTGAGCTTCCAAGCTCTCTCGTTCGAACGAGTTAACGAATTTGAAAGAATCGTTAACATTTGAAGTCGTTGTGTGCAAAACGATACGTACATGTACCGTAAAGTACCGTTGATCCTCCTCCCCCCCCCCCCCCCACGCCATGTCGCTTCCCAGCTTGATTTTCGGCAGGGGCGGGAATTAGATCAAGGCTGTCAAGTGCAGTACGATGTACAACAACGTAGAGGATCAGACTCTGTGTGCTGGATTGTGCATATTTTCATCCTGGATTGGCACATATTGTGTACAGCAGTGCATGCATCGGTTCAACATCGTATTTCGTTGTATACGCCGAAGTCGCCTCACAGGTAGAAAATCGACAGGGGGCGGGAATTAGAGAGGGGGCGGGAATTAGAGAGGGGGCGGATCAACGGTACTTTACGGTACAGTCATTTGCCGCTTTTGAGACAGAATTCGTTAGAATTTCACGTTGCTAACCCACAAAAATCCGGAGATCGTTAACTTTAATTGACGTTAAAATATCTAGTCTTACAGTATGTCGTGCGTCAACTACATGTAGGATGGAAATCACATCGTGGTACGTCACATGGACATGCTTTGCACTAGCAGCGAATAGTGCCAAATACGGCTACCGACGTACGTGCCTTTGAGTGTCGAAGAGAACACGAAACAGTGACTGTGCTTCACTGCTTGTGCACGGCAGTACAAAGTCATGTACATTGGCCTTAGGCCACACGTTTTGATTTCTATGTTTCTCGTCACCCGCGCGCATACGATTCAGGAGTCTGGAAGAAAAAAAGGAAAAAAATGTGCTACACTGACTGTGCATGTGGGGACCAGCACACTCATGCACATGTACATAATGTGGCCTGGCATGCGCGACACATGATGCAAGGTGGCATTTTTGTGCGCAATTTAGCAGCACATGCTCAGATTGTGACAGAAGCTCCTACCACATACTAGTTGCTAACTATGGATGCTATTTTGCATGGTGTATTGGTGGATTTTAGTGTGAACAAAGGTCTAATAAACTTTTTTTATTTTTCGGTCATTTTTTATTTTTTTTCCACCTCTCGCATACGTTTTTAGATTTTCAGGTGACGAGAAACATAGAAATAAAAACGTGTGGCCTTACGCAAACAAAAAAAAGCACTGCAAAATACGGAACGTAAGAAATAGTTGCAGTGCGCAAAACAAACCCAGTTGGTTGGCAGCACTGGACCTCCTTGTTGGCTGTAGCCAGTAAACATGATAGACTTTCCTTACAGCTTGTGCTGCGTTCAAACGCCGAACGAGTTGAATTCAGACTTTGCGTATAACGACACTCGGCGGTGCATCAGAAAAGTATCCTTATTTGCAAAGTGTCTTTATACCCGAAGTCTCAGTGTGTATGTATTACAGTGGGATGGGACTTTGCTCTGGGCATGGGAATTCTGTCGTTATTCGCGAATTGTCGTTCTATCCGCAGTCGTTATTAGCGAAGTTAAGTACATGTCTCTCTCTTCCTGTCACACTGTACAGCATGCTGGATGACGCGGACTTGCAGTTGTGCGGTGTACACGACGTCGCGCACCGCAAGCTCATTCTGCACGCAGCCGCAGAGACAAGCTGTACCGACCCAGATCAAGCGGAGGACGAGTGGGAGAGGCCGTCCTCACCGCAGGAAGTTGAGGTGAGTTTCAGCCAGCCTGTAGCTAGCCATCTATAAATGTCAGCAGGGGCGTCGGACACGGTACGGTCACTACGGTATTGACCGCACCACTCTTTGTGCCGAGTACCCCGTGAATCTATAAAATGCACTGATTTGGGCTTTGAGTTTCCAGAAATTTCGGCTCAGCCACCCCTCCCTCACGCGTGAATTATACTTCAGATGGCTGATCGTGCCACACTAAATTAACTGACAAAGTACAATTTTTTCTTTTCTTTTGCTTCACATTATCATATTCATCAATTAGTAGGAGCCGTGGCTGGCTCTGGCCATCCCGGCAAGAAGGCAGATATGCCTGTTCGATTGGTGAATACAAATAAAAATACCATACCATATTTCCGACGCCCCTGGTCAGCGGAAAGGCACACACTGGCAGTTATTCATCACTGGTCACGCATTAAGTGTCATTGTGTGAAGGGAAGAATACAGATACTATGATATTGTAGGGTACGTGAGACCTGATAGCGTCAGCAATGAACAGTGCTATACAATCATAGTGGTTTGTGTCCGTGTATCTTTCTGTATTACTCTGTTCTGTCTTGGCCGTGTGCAGGTGCGTATCCGCGACCGTATGGTGACGTCTGAGGACGTGGACGCTCGTGCAAGGGAGTCCCTCGCGCGCAATTCCCTGTCGCAGATTGTGGAGCAGCTGTGTACGCTCGGCGGAATAACGCCGGTAAGTGTTCCGGTGCAGTCTACTGGTACTCCCGATAAGTCACGCACTTTCATGTCACTCAGTCTTTGTCTGTGCAGACGCCGAGACCACCAAGGTCGGCTGAGCAGCAGGCCCCCCCGACACCACTTTCCACATTCATTCGGGAGCATAGCGGACTTAGTAAAAAGGAAGAAAGAAAAAAGTCGCGCACTTTTGCATTTCGGACGGCTTGCACCTTTGTATAATGTATGCAGCATATGTAAGTCACGGACACGAGATGAGTCGTCCAGTTTTGTCTCCAAGATTGGGTGCGTGACTTTTTTTTTTTTTTAACTTATCGAGAGTAGACTACAGCATACAGTGCAACCTGGTGCAAGCGACCTCTGTGTTTAGCAACCACCTGCTCGTAACAACCGTTTTTCCATGCACAGACAGTTCTACACAGACACTGTGGGACCTGGTTCTAAAGACCACCTGGCTTTAACGACCGCTTTTGCTAGACGTTCTTATTTTCATGTACCATAGTCTATGGTGAGTTGAGTCAGCGTACAGGTGTAGTATTACATTGTGTTAGATAAACCTTGTTTGTCAAACATGTTGTTTGGTTGTCAGCATATTACAAGGTGGTGGAGCACCGTGTTCCGAAACAGTGTACCGTACTAAAACCATCCACGTGTGTGTGTGTGCGTGCGTGCATGCGCGCGTGTGTGTGTGTGTGTGTGTGTGCGTGTGTGTGCGTGCGCCGTGTGTGCGTGTGCGTGTGTGTGTGTGCATGTGGTGTGTGTGCGTGTGTGCGTGTGTGCACATGCACTGGGTATTGGTATTATTCTAGATGACGATACCGTCACCGCTGGCTACTGAATCCACTCTCGGCACGAAAGAAAATGCCATCATGCCACCTACACCAGTATGTATCCGTGTGTGTGTGTGTGTGTGTGTGAGTATGTATGTGTGTGTGTATGTGTGTGTGTGTGTGTGTGTGTGTGTGTGTGCGCACATGTGTGTGTGTGTGTGTGTGTTTGTGTGTGTGTGTGTGTGTGTGCGCATGTGCGTGTGTGTGTCTGTCTGTCTTGCCGATACACACCAACAAAGGACATTATCAGTGTACTTGTGTTGTTGCATGTTGAAGGAGAGAGAACTAGACATGCTTAATTTTAGTCTCTTTTTGTGCGTGTATTTCTGTGTGCATGTGTGCATGCCCGTGTGTATGTGTGTGTGTGTGTGTGTATGTGTGCGCGTACGTGTGTGTGCGTGCGTGCGTATGGTACTTGGTGTGTGTGTGTGTGGGTGTGTGTGTGTGTGTGTGTGTGTGTGTGTGTGTGTGTATGTGTGTGGCCAGCTTGCGTCTCATCAAGCACCAGAACTGACAGGAGGTGAGTTCACAGCTGGTGAATCAGCACCAATGTCCCGTAGCCGTACCCCGGCATACCGGGGGAGTTGGACATACCGTGAAACCTCTCTGAACCAACCACTCAAGGGGCCTTGAAGTGGCTTCAAAGGGTGGTCTCTGTTACCAGGTGGTCCTTACTCAGGGTCATTTAACTGGAGATAGCATCCCTTGGTCCTGGTTATACAGTTGAACATCGATTATCCGACCACCTCTGGGCAGACAACTGTCAGGCGGTGTTCAGATAAGGCAAATGTTCCGGATAAGAAAAAACTGTCACTCACACACTTTCAGTGGTTATTACTAGCCGCACGACCTTTTTACTTTTTACTTTTCAAAATTTTCGTATTTTTTGAATGGCTCACTACATGCACAGTGCGTACTCTACGGCACGTGCGCCTAAAAAAACGGGTACGGATAATCGAATGGTCGGATAGTCGATGTGCGGATAATCCATGTTCAACAGTAATGCCCTTGTGAGACAGGTGGTCACCTTATCCGAGTTGTCACCTTGACAGGTTGCACTGTGCATTAAAACACGTCACTAACAACTACTCTGGATAGAGCGTAGAGTGCTGTTTATCCACACCCGGAGGGGGGGGGGGGGGCACGGGATCGTCTCCAGGGTGCTCGGTTGGGGAGTGTGTTAGCGTTCGCTCGTCCATCTGAAACTTGCATGTCCCCCCATGTTATACGTAGTTTGTGTCAATGTAACATTTCGGTCCTTTCTTTTAAATCTAATCCTTGACTCTCCATCCGAATCCCATCATGTTTTCACCATTTCTGATTCTTTTCACCACTACTAGTCTGGAATGGACACACTTTGACAGTCCTCTAAATGACACACGCTGGGGAACCATTTCTGACGCCAACCTGTTGCTAAGCATCCTGTACTACACCTTTTGAATAGTCCACCGGGCGGGGAAATCAGCAGAAGCTCAAATCTGTCCCCTAAAAAAACCCAGTGCACACAGGCATTCGTATGTTGTACAGATAGTAATGTAAATAGAAAAGGACCTGTAAGTTACGAGTTATGACTAACAGTCCACCAAGGTAACAAGATAGTATGCGCTCAGATAGTGCGACAACAAAGCACAAACTAACAGCGATATTGAGACATTCGACAGCCTGACACCTAGCTCCAACACATCTATGAAGCGCAAACCTGCATGTTTGTATGTTCACACGTGCGTCTAACAGATGCTGATATTGATCTGGATGACTTGCTGTACGATCTGGTCAAGTTTAATCCGCAACACGCCATCGACACCGCCGCCGTCCCAACACCTCCGGAATCGCCGCAACCACCGACTAAGGATGCATCCAACAAAGTACGTTTGTGTGTGTGCGTGTGCGTGTGTGTACATGTGTGTGTGTGTGTAGGTGGAAATGGCCTGCTCGATGTGCCAAGCTACTGATGTACTTAACCAATCCGTTGCCTCCTGAAACCTGTCTTGCAATTGTACAGCAGGATTGTGGGTTATAACCGATTCGCACAACGAGCGAATTCACGTGTATCGCGCTGTATCCACAGAGATATTCTCCCGTGTCCGAAGCTCGAGGAGAATCCGTTTACAATTGCGCATAAGCCATGTGCCCACGTTTGTTCTTTGCACGCATGTAAAGCCAGTGAAAATACTATCGTGGATATGGAAATCCGGTCGAATGACCGAGGCGTATGACAATGTGTATATGTGCGTGTGCATGCACCTGTGCGTGCGTGCACGTGCATGTGTATGTGTGTGCGTGTGCATGCCTGCGTGTGTGTTGTGTTCTGTACTTGCTACTTGCGTGCGTGTTCAGCCGCGAGGCTCCCTGCCCACCAGCAGTGCCAGCACATCGCGACTACCGGATTCGTCTTCGTCCTCCTCTCTCTCCTCATCCGCCTCATCCACGTTAGCCTCCTCGTCAGCGTCATCGTCAGCAGTGGGCAACAACCCGACGACGTCATCGGGAGCCACGGCAACGGGACTTGAGCGGAAGACCTCGCTCCCAGTCATGCTGAGCCAGGCACACAACGACGACGACAAGCAGATGATTGGTAAGACTTTTAAAAGACGGAGAGCTGTGCAGTGTTAAAAAGGGATGTACCGGTCGGGGATGTATCGGTCGGGTATGACCATCGCCGTTAATGGCGCTGCATCTGCCACCCTGGGGTATAGTCATGCATGGTGGTGGCCTGGCACGAGCAAAACTTCTATAAGCCGGTTGTGGCACGGTATAGGGCTTGAAAGTGCTACGTCACAGCATAGCAACAATTTCAAAAATTCAAATGAAATATAGAGCCGACTAAAAGTGCGATAGCAACTATCCTCGACGATATCCAAATTTTCACCTTCCTCTTTCTCCGTCGCTTGTCAAGCAGATAGCTGGCCCTATACACGCCGTCCTCTTCTCCACGGGATAAAGTTCGACGTGTACTTGGAAGGAAATCGGCGGTTGACGTACGATTCAGCGCCTTGTCATCTACTCGGGACCTCCGACTCGTGGCCACAGAATTCTGAAACTGAACTAAGAAAAAAACCTTGAAGAAGACCACTCTCTACCCCCCTCTCTCTCTCTCTCTTTACTTGTCTTTTCTTTCGAAAAACTCTACTTCAGCGGTCACTTCTGGTTCGAGTTCTGTACAACCGACCATCTCGCCAAGTGGCTTCGTGTATACCTGTCACCTGTGCATGCTGCACGCGAGGCGCAGCCGAATCTCACACCGCCCGGAGTGTAAAAATTACAACTCGCAGATGTCCTCGATTCCTGGCCATGTAGTTACACACCTTTCACACGCTCCCTTGCATGGTAATGTCTGCTTCACTGATACTGTTTAGAGTGTTAATTTTAGAAGCATTCCTTATGGGGAATAGATTTCCTTATGCACTCCGTCCGGTCTACGACGGGAAAAGAGCGCGTTAGTTGGGATGACAGAGGGCATGCACATCGAAACCACGCCCTGTCAACGACCCGTTCTTTTTCAGTTTTTAACCACCACTCAACTCGGCCCAAGAACAAAACAACAACGAAGCACAGCGACACACCAACGCTGATGTGGCCATCGCAAATCCCGTACCGTGCACGCAGGCACTGGGTTGCAACAGAAGAAAGATGCGCTGCAAGCGTGCCAAGCAGCGAGTGAGTACCCAACGCGTGCTTATGCTAGTCATGGCAACGGAAGATAAATTATAGAGAACGACCCGCGCATGGTTCGATCGTGAGCAGAGTACGAAAAAAGCACATTCAAACTGGGCAACAGAAGCAGAAGAGAAAAACGAAAATGAATACTTGTCTTTCAGTGGAAGTGCTTCTGTCGAAGGGTGCTCGCACCCGACGGGGTGACAGCACCCCTAGTCAGACAATACAACTTTATGCAAGGAAAACGAAATAGAAATAATTAGCTGAGTCACAGCGCGGGACTCCGAAACGAAAACCGACCCAAAAAACCGACCCAATAAAATGATGGCGAAGAGTTGGCCAAGAAGTGGCTATGGCCGCAGCAGTACATGATAAGATGATGTCCATGACGGTCTCCCGTGTGTGTGTGTGTGTGTGTGTGTGTGTACGTGTGTGTGTGTGTGTGTGTACATGTGTGTGTGTGTGTGTGTGTGTGTGTGTGTGTGTGTGTACATGTGTGTGTGTGTGTGTGTGTGTGCGTGTGTGTGTGTGTATGTGTGTGTGTACGTGTGTGTGTGTGTGTGTGTGTGTGTGTGTGTGTGTGTGTGTGTGTGTGTGTGTGCATGCCGTGTGTTACCTGCAGCTTCAATGTGGCAGACGCTGGAGTCGGCATGTAAGTAGGGCAATGGGAATCCCTTTCTACGTGCTCTGCTAAAACATACAGTCAACTTCGCTGATAACGACTGCGGATATAACGACGATTCGCGAATAACGACAAAATTCCCATGCCCAGAGCAAAGTCCCATCTAACTGTAGTACATATAAATAGACTTCGGGTATAAGGACACTTCGCGAATAAGGACACTTTTCTGATGCCCCGCCGAGTGTCGTTATACGCGAAGTTGACTGTACATGTGTGTGTGTTTGTGTGTGTGTGTGTGTGTGTGTGTGTGTGTGTGTGTGCCAGCTAGTTTGGTTGGTAGGTACACTTATGCCTGATTGTGTTGGGTCTGTTGCCAACAGGCTCGGCTGCTTGAAGGTGTAATGTTGTACCTGCCACCTTTGTTGGTTCCAGGGTTCATATACTTTCTATTTGAAGTATACATACCTGTTAACCATGGACTGCTTCTGGCTAGATTAACTCTTGTGTAATCAATGGTGCTAGTGAAGCTTTTATCAGATCCACTCTGATTTAGCCACTCACACTAGTAGCAAGTATTACCTTCACTGGGGGCAGGGGTAACTGCAGTTGGATCCTGGGACGGATACCCTGATACCGTCAATCCTTTTTCTGCACCTTGTCCTCACCCACTTACTGAGGTGTGGTGAGCCCATAAGTGGGATCATTTTCAAGTCCACCCAGAGTTTTGGGGATTTCAGGGGTGTCGGCCGTTGGGCGGTTCAATAACCAATTGAGTCATCTTTCCAAGATTCCTTTTGAGTCTCTCTCCCCTCTCCCGGGGGGACTCACGTGACCAGTTTTGGTAGTGAGCAACAAGTACAGTGTGTGTGTGTGTGTGTGTGTGTGTGTGTGTGTGTGTGTGCGTGTTTGGTGTACGTGTGTATGTGGTGCCGGGATCACAGCCCAGGTACAGGACGTCAAACAACCCAGCACCGTGCACACCCCGGCTGAAGCACAACGGGCAACCTTGGAGGTCGAGCAAAAGATCAAGAAGCTGAAGGAGCAGCTGGAAGGCGAAGGCATTTGGACGGAGGTTAGCTGTTTGTATGAATGGATTCTCCACAGGCGTTGGCCTAAATTGGGGGAGTCTCCGTCAACGGCTTATAATAACAGGGGCGTCAGACACGATACGGTCACTACGGTATTGACCTTACTACTCTTTTCCCCAGGTGCCCCGTGAATCAATAAAATACACTGATCTGGGCTCTAAATTTCCAACATTTTCGGCTCAGCCACCACTCCCCCCACGCGTAAATTGTACTTCAAATGGCTGATCGTACCACACTAAAATACCTTCCGACGTTGCCCCTGGATGAAGAAGCCGAAGAGAAAGTTTAAAATAGAGAAGGAAGGGGATAGAAAGATGCGGGGTGGACCTAAAACATAATTGCATGTTCTGTCCTTTGCCCACACAGACCATCACAAAGCTGAATTGCAAGCTTGAGCCTGCAATAAAAAAAAATGACATGCCATGATTGCTAGTCCCCCGGAACATATCTCCAAGTCTGTTACTAAGAGTGCCTATGCCAGGCCTGCAGTAAAAGGCTCACAACTCAGTACCAATGCACCATATATTTCCTGAAAGTAGAAGCATGGACGCTTCCAATGACATATAGAACATATAATTCAAGAGTCTGATCTTACGTAGTTTATCGTTCGGATCTTCTGCCGTGGAATCCACCACCTTCAAAAAAGCCATCAGAGCTTTGAAACGGCGGTAAGTCTGTATGAAGGCGCACACCCAGCTGCCAGTCAGGAGTGGCTTGCAACTCCAATGCTGCTCTGGAGTCGGATAAGATTTGATTCCCACGTACACAATCCATCCAATCAAACTGAGAATCTCTTGTGACGTCGCCAGATTCCACACACCTTCATTTGAAATAGAATGGAGGAGTTGAGCAGTGAAGAAAAGTTTGAAGAAAGATAGTTCGTGTTGAGGAGCAAAGTCTTGAGGAGGGTGGAGGCCAGGAGGTCGTTCAGGCGTGAAGTCAGCAATCACTGGGGCTTGGTCTACATTATCAACCCAGGCATTGGCAGCAGGGTGATGTTCTCCACGTCCTCTGCTGCGTCCCCCGCCACGACTACCACGACCCGCACCAAGGCCACCATGCCCCATGATCGCCTCTCCCGCGAGCTGCGCCGCCACGACCCTGAACTCCGCCAGCTGTGCCGCCACGAGTTGCTGGAAGTTCTTCCGACGAGCTGCTTTCTCCATCTCCCTCGTCGCCGCTGCGATCAGCGGAGGCATCGTCGCTGTGAACGACAGAGTCAGAGGCTTTGTCGCTGTGATCGACAGAGTCAGTCAGAAGCATCGTGGCTGTGATCGACAGAGTCAGAGGCATCGTGGCTGTGATCGACAGAGTCAGAGGCATCGCCGCTCGACTATTCAGCAGAACGAGAGTCACTGCTGCGTGTATGCTGAGCGCCACCGTCGCGTCCTCCGCCATCGACACGGTGGCTTCTCACTCGCGACGACACTAGCGAATCGCTCCCAAAACTCGCCGAGCTCTCGTCTCCGATTAGCTGATCATCCACTCCACTATGATCATCACTGGGCTCGCACTCACTGCCCAGCTGTGCTGGTGATAGGCCACTCAGCTGATCGACAGGAAGAACTCGCTCCCCGAGTTGTGCTCCCTTTTCGCTACTAAATTTCACATCGCTCTCACTTTCCTCCCCTCTCAAAGCTCGATCGAGTTCGCTTTCTTCATCAGATGACATCCCAGCATCACTGGAGGACAGCGGCTCACCGCCATTGTCATCAGCAGGTGCTAGAACGGCTCCAAGAGCAGCTGAGCTAGCTTGCCGCCATGCGCCTCGCCATCATAAATTCAGAGTGAACAAGAAGTGTAGGCGCAAGCGCAGCTTTCGCACTCTGTTCAACGCTCCGTTGCACAACATTTTTCTATGTGAACCGTGGCCGTATGACACACCATTGGAAAGATATGATCTTGAGGTACGCGTTTGCCAAATTTTCGTACACCAGGGCCAAAAATGCCCTCACAACACCGCCCCGGAAAAAAAATCGATCACCTGTGATAACAATGTGAGACCGTAGAAGGGTTAACAGCCCCATTGTCTTCCTGTTTCTGACTGTATGTGTATTGTGTGTATGGTAGGGGTGAAACGAAGGTCTCAAATTCCCATTCGAACCTTCTTTATTAAAACGAACGAAGGTGTCGAAGGATTCTTTTTTAACATGATCACGGAAACGCTCAAAAATCTTAAAAAACTAAAAAGGGTGCAAAAATCAGAACCCAATACTTTCATTGTATGTGCAATTTGTTTCTGAATCTGCTGGTATCAATGTATCCATTCCAGATAAAAAAATACTTTGGCCCAGCTCACCACTATAGATAGAGGCAAGGTTTTAACATACTCTTGATAGAGGCCATACCCAATACCTGTTTCAAGTGTGAGTCAATTGTCCATATTTCTGACAATTTAGATCAGTGTACTTGAGATCGTGTACAGACTTGGTAGCCTTGGCCTTTTTGACACAAAGCGACAATAGATCACTGCTCTAGTGTACGGCCAGTTGCGTGCTTGAACAATACCAAAATGGACGGAAAAGAGCCATATTGCGTAGTAAATATCAGATGCCCAACTTACTTCATCAAAAAATTGTCAAATCTGGACATGTACTTTTCGCTTACTAGTATCTGCTCGCATCGAGCGGGTGCATTGGTGATTGAGAGTAGAGTGAATAGTCACTGGGTGAGGAACTTCACCTGCCACGAGGATTTCAGGCCATCGCTGCGCTCCCTCTCGCTGCTGCTGGGAGAGTGAATACTGCAATGGCTTCAGCGATGGAAACTTTTATTTTCGATTCAAATAATTATGAGACTACACTCGTATCGCTGCTACAACGTTCTCCAGACACCATCATTAGCAGATATCGACGGCAGCTACAGCAAGCTATATTCCTGGTACAAGCAGCATAACTGAGCGAAAACACGATCGAAATAGCAAAACTACACTCCTACTAGTATCGCAGAGCGCCAAAGACTCGACGAATACAATCAAAAAAGTCATCCATGACTCATGAGTACACCATGGTAGATCTACACACCAACGCAAAACGGGAACACGCTGGTGACTGGAACAGGGCCAGTTCTTCACTGACTTTTCACTTCTTCAGTTCCGGTGCGCACGCGGACCATGCCCCTACTTGTAGTACAGCATGACTCGTCGACAGTACAGTGCTGTGCATGCAGCACATCGCACAAGAATCATTAGCTCAATGCATTGATGCATGCACTAAACCCGTGTCGACCTTCGTTCGAATCAAAAAACGAAGGTTCGTTTCAAAGGAAAACGAAGGTCCTTCGAACCTTCGACTACTTCGTTTCACCCCTACTGTATGGGTATTGTGTGTATGGGTATGTGTATTCTTATTCACGTGTGTGTGTGTGTGTGTGTGTGTGTGTGTGTGTGTGTGTGTGTGTGCGTGTGTGCGTGTGTGCGTGCGCGTGTGTGCACGTCTGTTTGCGTATCTATTGTGTGTGTGTGTGTGTTTGTGCGTGCGCGTGTGTGCACATGTGTGTCCTGATCGCAGGAGGAGATAGGTCAGAAAGTGAAAGCCGAGAAGCTGCGTATAGCCATGTTGCACATCAAGGAGGCAAGAGTTGCACAGGTAACCGCCGTATGTTGCAAAAAAAGAATCCACGAGAGCGGGATTCCGGGTACCGAAGAACTAGGGGTCAGCCTTGTAGCCTAAGCCATTTTTCATGTACAGTGGCCAAAACAATCCGACCCACGAGCCGAAAGCAGCGCCAAGGCTCCTTCAACCCCTGCAGCCCTGGGAGGGATTTTTGTACTGTGCATGACGTAATTGTAATGCAAACACGGCGCTACATTTTGACTCGCGGGTTCAGCGGCGGATCCAGCGATCTCTACAGGGGGGTTCCAGTATAGTCAAACCCCAATAACTGATATATGTACATGGACACGCATATGGTTTCCTGTAGTACATTTACGAAATTTAGGGGGTTCCGTGGAATGCCTGGAACCCCTCCTGGATCCGCCCCTGGGGTTTGTTTTCTTTGGCCACAACTGTACTACAGTCTATGCACAGTTGAGTCACTACAGGGGTGTCGGTGTGCTGTGTTTGGTGAAATTCTAGCCAGTTCAGTTCGTTCTTTGGCGCTCTGTTCTTCGGCGCCCGACAGTATTGTAAAGGTGTGTGTGTGTGTGTGTGTTTGTGTGTGGATTTGTGTCTGTATGTCTGCACGTGCATCATGCGCGTATCTGTCTGTCCACGTGTCAACATCGTGTCGTCCTGCATGCAGGGGCGCATCCACGCGTATGACGAGGACGGAACAGAGCGCAGTCTGGTGGCAAACGAGAAAACAGACGCTTGGACAGCCGCGCATCAGCTAGCCATCAAAGCTGAAGTGGACCTGCAGAAACCCTGGACGCTGATTGAACGAGACGAGGAGTTCAATTTAGGTAATGGAAAGCAGCTTTAAATCTTTTAACTAAGCAGCGGTATTTTTTCCTTTACTGTCTGCACTTCATGGCACATAATGAAGATAGTCAATACAAGGAAGTGAGGGTGAAACCAACCACTGACCATTGTGCAGGAGAATTAGTAACTTCTTCATAGCCGAAGTTTGTTACAACAGACGTGCTCTCACACTGTACAAGCAGCAAGTCATGACTGGCAAGTGGCCCATGACAGTATGAGTGCACTTGGTTTAGTACATGCGACCCTACTAAGATTTGATTCGTTACAAACGAAAACTGTTCGCTATAAGGCCAAGTAAAAAAAAAAGCTAGATGATCGTCCCCGTCCGCCCCAGTTTTTGTCAGCGCCCCAAGAAATATTTTATTTTTTAAATCGTGAGTTTTTGCCGAAATCGTTGGTTTTTTACCGATCGCGGATGCAGGAAACATGTGCACGCTTTGTTTAATACTTTCTTTACTATATGGACCACATACTACTAGTATATCACAACGTCAGTATCGATCTGCTGAAGAAAGAAAAAGAAAAAAAGAAAAAAAAAGAAAAAAAGAGAAAAAAAACCTTGATGTTGTTGTGTACACTGTGTGCATGAGAGGGTAAAAAGTAAAAAAATAAAAATAAAATCCTCCCGCCCTCCCCGATTTTTCCAAAAAAAAGGACGATCATCTAGTAATTTTTTTTACTCGGCCTAAATGGTCAATTTTGTGCAAGCTCCAATAGGTACACCGACAATGGTTCGCTATATTATCACGAACTTCTCTATATGCGAGTTTGTTATAAGTGGAGTTATCTGGATTTTGTTTTGTCCGTGTTGCGTCAACCGTTGTTGTAGAGCGCACGCTAGAGGATCATGAACAAGTGTACCTAATCTCGTCGCGATGGCCGAGGACCGGGAAGCGGCGGTTCATCTTCAAAATCGACTTCAAGAAGAACGACCTGTTTGAGAATCCAGAGGTACGTGATCCGGGAGCCGGGGGATGAGAGTAGTACGTGTCGAGCCGGTTTGACGACTGGCCCATACCCCTGCCCCAAAAATGGGGTATTATTGATAGTACCCCATTATTGGGGTGAATGCGCCGGTCGTGAAACAGGCTCGACACATACTACAGATGAGATGTGTGTGCATGGCCGTGACTCGTGTGTGTGTGTTTATTTATTTATTTTATTTTTTATTTTTTACAAAGACCCGTTAAAATGCCAAACATGGGAGGCAGCTAGGGGAAGCACGCACAACCTGAATCGTGGCAGTGGTCGTGAGGTTAGGGAGCTCCGCCGACCTGCGGTCTCGACTTCATGGCAACCTAGACGCACATGTGCATGGTCTTCTTGTGCATGCTTGGTCCAATGTGTATGACTTTGTATTTTTTTTTGAGAAAATTGTCACTGTTTTTCTGTACCGTCGTCGTTCTCTATGTGCGACCGCCCGTGGCCCGTGGCGTGACTGCAGGCGTATTTCCCCGCACATATCAAGGTAGCCGGTATGTATCTGCAGAGGCCACAGGAGAGGGTGGAGAAGGCACGCAAGACCTTTCTCAAGGTGAGGGCTAGAGTGGGTGTGTGGTCGGCGGTTGCTGCTGCTGCTGTAGCTGCTGCTGCTGCTGCTGCTGTTGCTGTTGTTGCTGCTGCTGCAGTTTTTGTTTTCCCTTGCAAACCTATGTATACCCATTGGCAGGCACCACACACACACACGCATGCACGCACCCACAATCCCATGCTAACTGCCTGATGCGTGTGTGCTTGCGTGTATGGATGTATTTTTGACATTTTTTGTGTTTGTATAAATATTACATTTTGTGTGTTTGTGTGCATGTGTGTTCTCGCATGTGTACATATGTATGTGTATGATTGTGTGCACATGTGTATGTGTGTAGTCTACTTCACTTATAACGACACTCAGCGGGGCATCATAAAAGTGTCCTTATTCGCGAAGTGTCGTTATACCCGAAGTCTCATTATATGTATTGCAGTTGGATGGGACTTTGCTCTGGGCTTGAAAATTCTGTCGTTATTCGCGAATTGTCGTTATATCCGCAGTCGTTATTAGCGAAGCTGACTGTACGTGTGTTTGTATGCATCCTGCTTTGACACACAGGACTACTTCACCGGCATAGTGCGTATTCCGGAGCTGGAAACCCAGTGCTACCTGCGAGAGAAGCTCAAGTCCTGGAAGAAGTATAACTGCGTGGTGCGATCCTCGGGCCTCTACTACTCCAAGTCGCGGGGAAAGGTGTGGAACACACTATCACACGCATTGTGTTGCCTGGTTCGTGGACTGCTGTACAGCTGCACACACCATGCTTCAACACACACGCGCACATGCACACACGCACACACACACGCGCGCACACACACAAACACACACACACACACACACACACACAGTCACGGCAAGACTGCAGTGTACTGTTCTGCGATGCGGACTGTAATTGTCTCTCTGTAACTATCTCTGTGTATCTGTATGTTTGCTGTCTCTCTGTAACTATCTATGTATGTCTCTCAATCTGCGGACAGAACTGTTTCATCCTTTGTGGACTCCTCAGCGCAGCACAGAGAAAATGAGGCCGAACCTGGTAGCAATGAGAAATATTTTTTTCCAAAGCCAGATTTAGTTTAACCAGGCATGAACGTACCTTGCCAGAGTGCTCAAACTATGTATGTCTCTCTCTGTGCTTGTCTCTGTACTTGTCTCTATGTAACTATATCGGTATGTGTGTGTGTGTGTGTGTGTGTGTGTGTGTGTGTGTGTGTGTGTGTGTGTGTGTGTGTGTTTTGCCTGCCTGCCTGCCTGCGTACAGACATCCGATTCAAAGAATCTTCTCTGCTACACCAAGTTCAGCGCTACCGACATCTTCAGCGCCAACAACTACAAGAAGATGTTCAAGGCGCCCTCCGAGCACGTTCTAGCCCTCAGAGTGAGTCGTCCATCGTGTAAAAAAAACAAATTATCCACTTAGTGGAGGACAGCTTTCTTTTTAAAAGCATGTGTTGTCTTGCAACCTTTTTTATTCCATGCTAGCTCTTTTCTACTTCAATAGGCGGCGGGGAGACATTAGAGAGGTTATTTAACCCTTTAAGAGCCACAGGAAAATTTCAGAATTCTGCATTTTTTCGTGTTCCTTGGATCATAGCTTCAGTTCTACTCACTCAATCTTCACAATCTCGGGCTTCCTGGAAAGGTCTCCGCGAGAGGAAGAGAATGAGGTCGATCCTGATAGCCAGCACACCGTCTATCCAGCGCTAGATCGCAGCGACAGTACGAAAAATGCCCCAAATGCGTCCAATTGCGTCCCGCTCCAGATATTTCATTTTACTCGATCGTGGAGTTCCAATTTTTTCGCTGTGTACTCTTGACAATATCAACAGTGAAACCCGTGCAAATTCGAGTAAACCAGCGTGACGAAAAGTCTCAAAATTTTCAATACTAAAGTCGCACTGCGCGCTTTTGAAATTGCCGCGATCGCGGCTCAACTTACGAGTGATTTATCTCCGGAACCGTTGCTCGCAGCGCTTCGCGAATTGTTTCTCCCGACAGGTGAGAGTTTTCTCTTCGCCCTGGATATTTCGATCACTGGATTTGAGCGAGATTGGACTGAGTTACGATCTTTTGAAGTTTTGCATTTGAATGCGTCGTTTACGACGCATTCAAGTATGGGGCGGCTCTTAAAGGGTTAAGTTGCACGTTATTTCTGACGTGACACGCAAGTTCAGCTGGCGTTTTTTGGCTCGCGCGTCGAAAAACAACGCGAGTGACCAGCAGCTCACGTCGAAATTTGGAGCTTTACGCCAAATTTGACGTGAAATTGCGCGTCACGTCGGAAATAGCGTGCATCTTAAAACCCCTCTAATAACCTTTTTATAGCAGTAAATAGTATCAGTGAAGCGGACATTACGTAAAGAACAAAGAGAATATGTTGAATAAATGCTCCCAATCGATTTTCTTGTGACCATCATCAGGAAAAGTCGCCTCACAACAGAAGCTATGCGGGGAAACAAATTAACTTATACCTCTAGAAGATAGTGCAAAGTAAAGGTGAGGTGTGAAAAAAAGTGGGAGAGAAGAAGAAAGAAATAAGAAAAAAAGATCTAAGAGTGGTCCAATGGTGTGAACTAATACCAAATTCTCTTCTACTTCTTGGTGAGAGTATTTTGGAAGACCCTTGTTACTAGTAGTTTACGAACCGCGGCTGTGGGAGGGAAGTCGGCGAAACTCGCCATGTACCAGTCGAGGTTTCCGTCAACGGCGTTGTTTTGGATTGGACACATGAGAGAGATCGATTGATCAAAGCCTGACAGCTCAGGGACGAGTAGCTTTATTCCAATGTCTTCCAAGCGCTCACTGCCGCCTCCCGAAGAAATGTGTTGGCCAATATTCATGTGATTGCTCAGTTCCGCCAAGGTGGAGAATGCTGACAGACATCCCGGATGGCAACAAACAAAGCTGAGTGTGGCTTTCGCTTTATATGTGTTGCTGCTGCTGGCGCCGGTGGTTGACTGGAAGGTGGAGTAAAGTCTTCAACGATCGCCAATGCTGTGTTTGGCAATTGTGCTGGTTTGAAAAGGAATGATCTTCCCTAAACCAACACTGTATGCTCCCTGTGAAATTATCGACCACAACTAAAAACTACGCGGTCTTGAGACCCCTGTTGTAGCGCGATTTCCTGGCCTTTTCGTGGAGACAACTAGAAGACTGTATTTACTTATTGGTTTCAACCATACTCTCAAATCAACCAGAAAGCAACAACAACAACAACGATCGCCAAATCGCTGTCATCAGCAAAACGTGCTCGCGTGCATGCATTGGCTTACGTGTACGTGTACATCAGTGTGCATGTGCGTGCATGCATATCGAAGTGTACGAGTAGAAAATAAGAATGATCATGCGCATGATGCATCGATGAGTCATACCACCACGTAACCATGGATATAAATAATGGCGACGCGATGGCGACAGCAAACCCCATGCCATCAATGTTCCTCCTTTGCTTCTTTCCTTCCATATTCGCCTGTATGTTAGTGGGCCCAGTTCACCGGTTAATGTACCAAGTAAAATAAAAACAAACGAACGAATGAACAAACAAACAAACAAACAATGTCCCTGCTGCCTGACCAAACTCACAGTTTGAAAGGTCGCGTACGCCAGTCAGTTTTGTTGATGTATCTCGGCGGGCACCTCTGTGAACTTCAGCGATGGCTGGTGAAACATTGCCAACTCCATCGTTACTTCTGATGGCCGCGTAGAACTCGAACGCATTTGTAACATTGTGATTCTCATCGATGTACCTTCGTTTGTGGGACTTGACCGTTGCACTGCACCGATCGCAAAGGTCCTTGCCCGACTGAGCTTCTCTGAAGTCATATCGGCGGCGGTGGGCTGTGATTGGCGCTTGGATTCCTGCTATGAGAGTGATCAGCTGGGCCAAATGGTAGCACCCAGTGTTGTCGCTTCTGATGTAAGCATGCTGGATATCTGGGTACCTCGACTTGACTGTGGTCTATGCATGCTGAAGTAGCGCAGCAACTGTGAAACTGTCCTGGTTACATTGTTCCACAATGTGTATGAAAACCTCGTGTGTTGCATCCTACATCTGCATGGCCATGACGTGTCATGAAAGTCCCCTCTTTGCCAACCAGCCAGTGCTTCCGTCTCACGCTATATCTCGGTGGCATGAACACTTCATGGCCAATTCCATGGTAACCACACGTGGACTGATGTGTTGTTGGCGGCTAGTGCTTCTCAGTGAGAGTATTGTGGAAAACCCTTGGTACTAGTGGTTTTAACGAACCGCGACTGTGGTAGTGAAGTCACCGAAGTCACCAGTCGAGGTTTCCGACAACGGCGTTGTTTTGGATTGGACACATGAGAGAGATCGATTGATCAAAGCCTGACAGCTTAGGGACGAGTAGCTTTATTCCAATGTCTTCCAAGCACTCACTGCCGCCTCCCAGGGAAATGTGTTGGCCAATATTCATGTGATTGCTCAGTTCCGCCAAGGTGGAGAATGCTGACAGACATCCCGGATGGCAACAAACGAAGCTGAGTGTGGCTTTCGCTTCATGTGTTGTTGCTGGTGCCTGTGGTTGACTGAAAGGTGGAGTAAAGTCTTCAGCGATCGCCAATGCTGTGTTTGGCAATTGTGCTGGTTTGAAAAGGAATGATCTTCCCTAAACCAACACTGTATGCTCCCCATGCCATCAATGTTCCTCCTTTGCTTCTTTCCGTCCATATTCGCCTTTATGTTAGTGGGCCCAGTTCACCGGTTAATGCACCAAGTAAAATAAACACAAACAAACAAACAAACAAACAAACAGACAGACAAACAATGTCCCTGCTGCCTGACCAAACTCACAGTTTGAAAGGTCGCGTACGCCAGTCAGTTTTGGTGATGGATCTCGGCGGGCACCCCTGTGAACTTCAACGATGGCTGGTGACACATTGGCAACTCCACCCATACTTCTGATGGTCGCGTATAACTCAAACGCATTTGTCATATTGTGATTCTCATCGGTGTACCTTCGTATATGGGACTTGACTGTTGCAATGCACCGATCGCAATGGTCCTTGCCTGACTGAGCTTCACTGAAGTCATATCGGCGGTTTGCTGTGACTGGCGCTTGGATTCCTGGTATGAGAGTGAGCAGCTAGGACGAATGATATCACCCAGCATTGTCGCTTCTGATGTAAGCATGCTGGATACCTGAGTGCCTCGACTTGACTGTGGTCTATGCCGCATGCTGAAGTAGCGCAGCAACTGTGAAACTGTCCTGGGTACATTGTTCCACAATGTGTATGAAAACCTTGTGTGTTGTATCCAACATCTGCATGGCCATGACGTGCCATGAAATTCCCCTCTTTGCCAAACAGTCAGTGCTTCCATCTCACGCTATATCTCGGTGGCATGAACTTCGTGGCCAAGTCGAGACATGAGAGAGATCGATTGACCAAAGCCTGACAGCTGACGGACAAATAGCTTTATTCCGATGTCTTCCAAGCGTTCACTGCCGCCTCCCGGGGAAATGTGTTGGCCAATATTCATATGATTGCTCAGTTCCACCAAGGTGGAGAATGCTGACAGACATCCCGGATGGCAACAAACAAAGCTGAGTGTGGCTTTCGCTTTATGTGTGTTGCTGCTGCTGCTGGCGCCGGTGGTTGACTGAAAGGTGGAGTAAAGTCTTCAGCGATCACACCAATGCTGTGTTTGGCAATTGTGCTGGTTTAACAGGAGTGATCATCTTTCCTAAACCACCACTGTATTCACCCCATGCCATCAATGTTCCTCCTTTGCTTCTTGCCTTCCACATTCGCCTTTATGTTAGTGGGTCCAGTTCACCGTTTGTTAATGTACCAAGTAAAATAAACAAACAAACAAACAGACAAGTCACAAACAATGTCCCTGCTGGCTGACCAAACTCACAGTTTGAAAGGTCGTGTACGCCAGTCAGTTTTGGCGCTGGATCTCCGCGGGTGCCCCTGTGAACTTCAACGATGGCTGGTGACACATTGGAAACTCGGCTGTTACTTCTGATGGTTGCGTAGAACTCGAACGCATTTGTAACGTTGTGATTCTTATCGATGTACCTTCGTTTGTGGGACTTGACCGTTGCAATGCACCGATCGCAAAGGTCCTTGCCCGAATGAGCTTCACTGAAGTCGTATCGGCGGTTTGCTGTGATTGGCGCTTGGATTCCTGTTATGAGAGTGATCAGCTGGGCCGAATGGTATCACCCAGCGTTGTCGCTTCTGATGTAAGCATGCTGGATATCTGGGTGCCTCGACTTGACTGTGGTCTATGCATGCTGAAGTAGCGCAGCAACTGTGAAACTGTCCTGGTTACATTGTTCCACAATGTGTTTGAAAACCTCGTGTGTTGCATCCTACATCTGCATGGCGATGACGTGCCATGAAATCTCCCTCTTTGCCAACCAGTCAGTGCTTTTGTCTCACGCTATCTCTCGGTGGCATGACGTGCCATGAAATTCCCCTCTTTGCCAACCAGCCAGTGCTTCCGTCTCACGATATCTCTGTGTGGCATGAACCATGAAATTCTCCTCTTTGCCAACCAGCCAGTGCTTCCGCCCCACGCTATCTCTCGGTGGCATGAACACTTCATGGCCCAGTCCATGGCAATCATACACATACTGATGTGTTTTTGGCAGCCAGTGATTGTGATTGGCGATTGGATTTCTGCTATCCCAGCATCCCAGCACCCAGCATTGTCGCTCTCTCGGTGGCATGAACACTACACGGCCCCGGCCATGGTAGTATCTTATAACACACAATCATACTGGTGTGTTTTTGGCGACCAGTGATGTTATTTTGGCTTCGTGCTGGTTGGCGGTGCGCATCACATGCGCGCTCCAGTCTCTCCGGATGCGTTGGGGTCTGTCTTCAATTACCCAACCACAGCATCTAAATTATAGTGCCTATCCAAGAGTCTGGGGGGGGGGGGGGGGTCTTCTAAGGGGGGATTATATGCGCAGCTCCAGCCTGGCCCGCCTGTAACCGAGATCTCGGGCTTATAGCGTTACACACATCCATACAAAACCTGTTGTGCGTTTACATGTCAAGTGGGCTGGCCCGGCGAGGCGGGATCCCTCCCCGAGGCACCCAAGATCCCGGCTAGGCGGGCCGGAAAAAGCACATACAAACAGACTAGCCAGGGCCAGTATACAGAGGAGTTGTATTATTACGGTGTCGACACGGGAACATGTAAACACCCTCGGCGGGCTGGCCCGCTCCCTCCAGCCCCGGGCTGGAGTTATAATATTTATATTTATTACAACATCTCAAGACTCGGTGGAAGCACCGACCAATATTAAGAGAGTGAGTGAGCCAACCACGGCGAAAAATAGCAGGAAGGAGAGGGAAAACAAAAGAGTTGCAACTCAGCAAAGAAAGAGAATTTCAAATAAAAGCAGTGAAAAGCAACAGAGACGCAAAGGACATGTGGATAATGTCGTTGCACACATAATTTGCCCCATGATGTGCCCCAAACTAATAAAAGCTCAACATAGAAGATAGAAGATGTGTATATGCAATGCTCAGGTTCATACTGTCATCAACAATAATAGAAAAGCTGAAAGGATCGCTCTTCTAAATAAAGGGTCAACGTGTACATAATGATTATCTGAATATGGACTTCCGCATAAATAAAATATGGACTTTATGTATGGACTTACAACAGGAAGAGGCCTTATCATAGAGGGTCTTATCCTATTTTAACCCTTTGGAGTCCGTAACTTTTTGCTTCCGCAGAATTTGTGGCAGTCACGAAAATGCGCACTCCATTTCCAACATAACTTTGGTTCTACTTCACCGATTTTGAAGACCTTGGGCTCGTTGGAAAGCTCTTGATGAGGGAAATACAATGAGCCCAAACTCGCCAAGAGCACTGTTCATTGTCCGCCACAACGCGCCCCAAACGCGAGTCCAGCTCCAGATCTGAGACGAAATCGGTCTCCTGTAGCCATTTCACTAAATCCAGCTCGGAACTGTTCAAATTTTTTCGAGTAGAAGCTTACCTTGCCGTGACTTCGCGCCGCGCCGGGCCTGCCATGAAGCTGGGAAAATCCCTTTTTTTCACGCACTGGTGACCCGCAGCACGCAGCGCAGAAAATTCGAAATGTTTGATCGCTCGCCGCTTACTCAAACTTCATCACAGAGACTTCGGACCAGTTCGAGGCGATAGCTGAGAGTTTTCACTACCATCTAGACCCTTCGATTGTTGAATTTGGTCAAGATTTGGCTGAGAACCGAAAGTTTGACTTCGCCCACATGCATATAAAATGCCCATGGTTCGAAATCGAACCATGGACTCCAAAGGGTTAAGGGAAATAGTCCTATAACTTAGGAGAAGCATGTGCTGGCATAATCATGGGCTGGAGTATGGTCGGCTGTGTGTGTTGCTTTTCAAGCGTTTTTCTTGCCCGTATGTATTTTCGTGTTTCTCGAAAAGCCCTTGATTTAGCCCCTCTCTCTCTCTCTTTTTCTCTCTCTCTCACACACACACACACACACACTCTCTCTCTCTCTCTCTCTCTCTCTCTCTCTCTCTCTCTCTCTCTCTCTTCTTCTTCTTCTTCTTCGTCACTACCACAGCCTGAAACCGGTGCATGTGCTAACGGCATGCTGAAGTGCATTGCTTTTGAGTCACGCACGGACTTGCTGAGCTGGAAGGCCGCCATGCGCTGTGCCAAGGTAACAATGAACTCAGTTTTGCGTTCCATGATGCCACTACTGTATCTGGACTGTCTTTACCTGCTCCCAGCCCCGTGCCATCTACACATTCAGACAAGACGACGAGATGACTACATTTGGAAGACGATGTATTACAAGACCCTATAAGCACACATGTCCCCTATAAGCACTCATGTCGCCTATAAGCACACATGTCCCCTAACTTATAAACACTCATGTCCCGTATAACACACATATCCCCTGTAGGCATACATGTCCCCTATAAGCACACATGTCCCTCTAAGCACTCGTGTCCCCTATAAGCACTAATATCCCTATAAGCACACGTATAAGCACACGTCCCCTATAAGCACTCATGTCCCTATAAGCACACGTCCCCTATAAGCGCACATGCCCCTATAGGCTATCAGCACACATGTCCCCTGTAAGCACACATGTCCCCTATAAGCACACATGTTCCCTATAAGCACACATGTCCCCTATAAGCATGCATGTCCCCTATAAGCATACATATCCCCTATAAGCACACGTATCCCCTATAATAATACATATTCCCTGCGAGGAGAACCTTTCCCTGTAAGGAGACACCTGCCCCATAATGATACACTTCCCTGTATGGAGATGACTGCCCGAAACTGCTTCGAAAACAGGTTTAACTCTAGTTTTTTTCGTGCTCTGTGTTGTGCCCGTGTCCTGCCCTGCCCGTGTCCTGCCCTGTCCTGCCCTGCCCGCGTCCTGCCCTGCCCTACCCTGCCCTGTCCTGCCCTGTCCTGTCCTGCCCTGCCCTGTCCTGTCGTCTCAGTACGGCCTGAAGCTACGTGAAGATTATGAGCTGTACCAGCGACGGCAGATGGTCATTAACCGAATGTTCAGCAGCCCTAGTTCGTCCAACAGTGAACTCCGCTCGCCCCCTCTATCGCGCGGTGGCACCATCCGTCTAATACCGATCAAGCGCTCGGACAATGACGTTGACGCACGGCAGCAGAACATCGCCGCAGATGCACACGAACAGACGAGCAATCCGGGTTCGGCACAGTCCACCAGCACGGCAGCATCGATTGGGCAGGACGAGTTCGTCTATCCAACGCCAAAGCAGTCTGCTGACAGCATGCTGCACGAAAGCAGTCCCGGTACGACGACAGGAAACGAGGGTGGTGCGAGTGAAATCGACGGTGGTGGCGGTGCGGAGGAGCTGCCGCCCACTCAGCCCAAGCTCATCTCAGCCAGCCTACCACCTGCACCGGCATCCTTGACGATGACGTCATCAACACGATCGGTGACATCATCACTGTCCCAGTTCCCCGATGACAGCACTGCAGAATATTGGGAAGGTATGCTGTGCACCCATTCACATGTTGGGTAGTTTGAGGGAATGAAAATGGGGGGGGGGGGGGGGTCTGAAGAAAAATTGCCTGTCACCACCGGAACTGGATCCAAGGACCTTGGCTTGAGGCGGCCAGCAATGCTCTCCCAGTACCCCTGAACATGGACAGTGCTACTGAATGAACATTTTACAAATTTTCCCGATGGGGGGGGGGGGGGGAGGAGAACATGCTTGATCCATATTTGGGCAAGTTGCCACCTCGCTCCGGCTTGTTAGTTGTTACCACTTTTCTTGTTTACAAGATAGCCACAAACCATCATGGTGTGAATGCCAACATTTGTTGCCGTTCCATGCTGGTATACTATGTATTGTTGGTAGCTTCAAGCTTGGATGCTATCCTCTATAGAATACGATTATTGCTTTCCATTGTGTGTGTACAGATGCGACGCCGTACGACTCTCGGCCTGCCATGCCAGTCCCAGGATTGTCAGCAACTGCACAGCCACCACCGCCACCACCAGCAGCAGACATACGTGGACCGACTAAATCAGCGTCGTCCTCATCGCTGGACACGAGTCAAGCAGCACCTCTGGCAGAGCGGCACGGCGGTGGCGGCGTACAATTTAGCAATGTTTCGTCGACGTTGCCACCCCCACCGCCGCCGATGACAACCTCCGACATACAGTCATCACACTTCAGCTATGCAGCCAGCAGTAATGGCACCATGAATCGCGATTCTCCCGACCTGCCCCCTCCGCCACCGGTCGAAGCTCTCTCGGAAGCGGCGGCGGTGGCCGCACCCCCGCCAAGCGCTGCCAAACCGCCGCCGATTGTGCCGAAAAAGCGGCCCGACGCTGCGCCAAAGCCGTCGCCGACCAGCAATGCTGCCCTGCGTACCCCGCCGCCACCGCGTAAGCAAGCATCCCCGTCACCGCATGCTGCACAGAGGGCCCCGGCAGCGTTGCCCAGTATGGGGACAGCAGCACCAGCACCAGTAGCAGCAGCACAACACGCCGATAACGGCATGACGGCGGCAGCGATGTTGTCTGCAGACGGCGGTGGCGGTGCTGTCGGTGGTGGTGGTGGTGTTTCGACAATGTCCATCAAGCAGCGTAGCCACGCGCTGGTCGGCGTCATCGGGCGACGTCCGCCAATGCCGACCCCCACCTCGCAGAACAGCACTCAACAGACGCATCAACAGGACACGTCGCCAATGCACCAGCTGCCCAGACAACAACCATCGCCGCCGCAAGCGCTGCGGCAAGCTGCTCCCGCCGCGCAACACCAGCAGCAACATGCATCCCAAGCAGCGTACGCACAAGAAACAGCAGCGTCGCCATTGCCACCCTCCCAGCTACGCGCCGGAAACAACGATGCCGGCAGCAGCAGCACTCCACTGCCACAGCCGCCACCCTCCTCGATCCCATCTCACCATCACCGTCCACCGGCGATACACCCAACACAACAACAACAACAGCAGCCACCACCTCCACTACTAGCAAGTCGAGGGTCTCCGTCTCTGCCAGCAACAGGAGCAGGCATGTCTCACAGCATGAGCCAATCACACTCTGCCCACGGTAAGTTGAATACAGTACATGCTTGTTTCGGCGCTTGTTCCTTACATTTCAACCTGTATTGAAAGACCACCTGTCTTCAGAGACTAGTTTTTCGGGGACCCAAACCATGCTGCCACATACATTCCAACCTGTATTGAAAGACCACCTGTCTTCAGAGACTAGTTTTTCGGGGACCCAAACCATGCTGCCACATACATTCCAACCTGTATTGAAAGACCACCTGCCTTACCGCCTGTCTTCAGAGATCAGCTATTCGGGGACCCAGACCATACATTTAAACCTGTATTGAAAGACCACCTGTCTTCAGAGACTAGTTATTCGGGGACCCAAACCATGCTGCCACATACATTCCAACCTGTATTGAAAGACCACCTGCCTTACCGCCTGTCTTCAGAGATCAGCTATTCGGGGACCTAGACCATACATTTCAACCTGTATTGAAAGACCACCTGTCTACAGAGACCAGGAGGCATTCTATGCTACATCATGGGGTGATCACTGAGGACAGTGTTTTTCGCCTCTCCTTTTCAGACCACATCGGAAGCAATGCGACAGGCACTGCTGCTGCTGTCATGACGACGGAACGCCGAAGTCCACAATTAGCACCGGCAGCAGCCAGTGCAGCGGCCAGTCCGCCGATTGTGCCCAGAAAGCAGGGAACCGTACTAAGCAGCTCCGGCGGTAAGCTCCTTGCTTCTAGAATATGCGTCATTGTTCCAAATATGCGTGATTTTTTCCTAATTTTGCGTGATTTTTTCCAAATATTTGAGATTTTTTCCAAATATGCGCGATTTTTTCCCGAATATGCGTGGTTGTTCCTAATATGCGTGCGCGTTCCAAGTATGCGTGATTGTGCATGTGTTGTTGTCGATGTCGATGCTCTGGTGGTTTCATGATCCAAAACCGCTGTTCTGTTGGAGTTCCTGTCGAGTCGTGATATGTTAGATTGTGTTCTTCTTTCTCAAGTTGTTGTTTTTTTGCTGGGCAGCGACGCACATGCATTTGTACCAGCATTGAAAAATCCTGCTTTCTCTTGAATGCATGTACTTCAGTACCCGGTATTGCGCCGGCTGTGCTGGACTTAACAAATTTAGTATTGTCCCAGTCCGGGGGAACGAATAGTGCAGGTAGATGCACAGTGCTGGTAACTGAAATCCGACCCCGGTCTTTCGTGCTCGAATGCAGCACCGACCATTCTAGCGGTCTCTATTTCGGTAGTGTTACAATCCAGTGCTGGGTGTTTGCAATGTGAGTGCACCGCCCCAGGGGGTCGGATTTCAGTTGCCGGCACTTTACGTAAACTTTGTGATGACTGGTTGTTTGCCTTGCGTGTTGTGGTGGTGCCGTGTCCCAGGTGCTGCTCCTGCTCCTGCTGCTACGAGTGGTGGCGGCATCGCTCTATCGCATCCCCCACCGCCCGTCGTGGCAGCACCCAACGTGCCGATGCCATCGGCGGCCGCGGCATCGGCTGCCCGTCACCACGGCGACGTTCGAAGCAGCGGCGGCATGCCACCACCAGGGCAGCCCCCGCCGCCCGTGTCGCTCTCGTCGTTCGGTCCCAGCGCTCTCCCACAGCCGTTTGCCCAGCACACGTTTGCCCAGGCGCAGCCCATGCCCGTCGGCGCGCATGGTTACGACCAGCCAACGGCACGCCAAGGTCAGAGTGAGCCCCGATTGCGCAATGACGTAATTTGTACCGTAAACAGCACCCCACACATGGCCAGAGCCACCTGATCATGGTCTTGTGTGTGTATGTGTGTGTCTGGGGGGGGGGGGGGGGTTGAACAGTGCATTCCTACTTATGGCAACCAACTGTAGACGGTATTTAAAATAGTCATGTGACAGTGCACACTCGGGAAGCCGGCAATGCTGGTGTTGCTAAGGAAACCGGCAATGCTAGCATGACAGCAATCACCATGTACTAGTGAAGCAGCAGCCTTCAAGACTCACTTTCATCGTGTGTCTTGTGTTCTTGATTGTCTTTGCCTGATGTGTTCCTCAACACACGTCAGGTGATGCGGCCGCGGATCCGGCTAACTTTGCTCTGTTTGTTTGTTTGTTTGTTTGTGTTCTTGTCGTGTGCGTGTGTGCATGCATACAGAGAACAGCACTGCAGTGGCACACGCCAGTGAGCCATGGTTCCACGGACCGGTGACCCGTGCCGAGGCAGAGTCACTGCTCCGGGGGGCAGGAGGCCAGAACGGGTAAGGGACTGTAGGACATGGAACACCACATCGTCGTCACGAGCATGTGCGCACTCACGCTCGTTCGCACGCATGCATGCGCGCGCACACACACACACACACACACACACACACACACACACACACACACACACACACACATAAACACACATAAACACACATGCATGCGCACACCTGCATGCGCACACCTGCACACACACACACACACACACACACACACACACACACACACACACACACACACACACACACCTACACACACCTACACACACACACACACACACATGCACACACACACACACGTACACACACACACACACACGTGCACACACACACACACACACATGGCTCCCTCTTGCTACAGTACTGTTGTAGTACGTTATTTTGCGTACGTCGTGTGTACGTCATGTTTGTGCATGTGCGTGTTGCTGTGGTGTGAAAAGCAGTCTTCGTCTTGAGTTCGTCATGTCTAGTTGTGTTTCGTCGTCGTGTCAATAAACAGTCTTCTAAATGTAGTTATCGCCGTCCCTTTGTATAAGTGTGGAGATGGCACGGGACTGGGAGCAGGTAGAGAAAGGCAGTTACAACACTGTTGCGTTGCTCAGCTGTTGTCATAGTTCTGTTGTTGTGTTGCTGTTGCCGTCGTCGTGTGCAGGCTCTATTTGATACGGGAGAGCTCTATGGTACCCGGCAGCTACGTGATGACAATGATGGGTCACGGACGCATCCACAACTTCCACATTGAGTGTGTAAGTACTAGGTGTGTGTGGCACCGCTGTTGGAGGTGGTCCAGTGTGTGTGCGTGCGTGTGTGTGTGTGTATGGGTGCATGTTGGCGTGGGTTTCTAATATCAACCTGTATTACTTGTTTGCATGTCTTCCTCACAATAGCGAGAGTTCTCAGATTGCCTAGAGTGCTCAACACCACAAGGATGGAGTAGTACCACAAAGCCGGCTGTCTCTGTTCTCTCAGTCTGGCTTTATGTCTTGCTTATGTGCATTTTGTGCATGTCATGTGCCTGTGTCTCTCTGTGCAGTTCTCTGACGGCCATAGCATGGCGTACGGCATAGATAACAGTCCACGGTTCCCCGCGCTCTCCATGCTCATCGACCACTTCCGCCAGAACTCGCACCGTCTGCCGTGCCCTCTCTCCTACTACGTCAGCCGGGCTTGAGTCCGCCCATTGCTTCGCTATCCGCCTTTCCGATCATAGTCAACCATAGTGCAACCAAATCTGGAATGCACGCTGCACAGATCATCCATAGCCGGAAGGTACACTGCCCAAATCACCTGTAACTGGAAGGTACACCGCTCAGATCATCCAAAACTGGAAGGTGGCACCGCGCAGATCATCCAAAAACTGGAAGGTGGCACCGCACAGATCATCCATAGCCGGAAGGTACACTGCACAAATCACCTGTAACCGGAAGGTGCACCACGCAGATCATCCAAAACTGGCAGGATCTGTGTGGTGGCCGCCCTTTCCTACCATGCTAGGAGGGCTTGAGACTAATTTTAGTCATAGTGTTAGTTTGCAGTAAGTGCTCAAAGAGTAGACATCCGCATTCACCATCCCATAGTGTTAGCTTATGTGTCTTACTTGATACAACGTTAGTACTGTACAATGCAAAGGGAGTAGTAAAATACCTACTCCCTGGTCATAGCCATCCTCAAAAGTACGAAGTGGCTGCTGTCACATGACTGAGGTGGAGAATGGTGGCAGCCCTGGTAACCAATGGTTGCGCTATGACGACCGAAAAGCGATTCGTTCGCAGCTTTTCGGCACACAGAAAGAGCCGCGGGAGCACGACCGAGCGGTACTCATCGTTGCTATGGCGATGCTGGCTGTAGTCACCGTGATGCTCCTAGAAACACTTGACCTTGCTTGTTTGTTGGTTTGTTTGTAAAATAAATCAAAAACAAACAAACAGAACCTTACTAATGCTCGCACCTGTGAGGCTCTTGTACTATGCTTGCTATTTTGCATCGTTTTTCTCGTGTGTGTTTTTTGCTTGCTTCACTTCAAGTCTCCATGTTCTCTCCTCTTGATCAGACTTAGAGAAGCTAGCGTACAGATAAAAAAAATTAAATTTTACAAAACAAATCAGAACCTATCCCAAGTAAAAGCCACACTATCTCTGCCCCCCCCCCCCGGACTCTATCCAGTTTTTACTCATCGCCCGCCAAGGCTACAGCGGGTGAATTATGAAGGTTTTATTCGGCATAGCCACACGGTGTGACGCCGGGAATCAATTTCAGAAAAGAGCAATATTCAGTCAATCCTCAATTCTAACTTTTAAGATCTGCCCTTCCTCTTGCTGCAGATCCTGGCATCGTCCTTTCGACGATGTTCCAGCTACCTTCTTGCATGCGTATCGTATTGATTTTGTTCATCCAGCTTTTTTTTGTGCTTTGCTTCATATCACTGCCACAGTAAATAATTAGTATCCGCTTGTACAGTTTATTACAAGTATTATTATTTTATTACCTAGATTCTAGAACAGTAACGAAAGCCAAGGAGTGACTAGACAGTCAGACCTCACGTATCCGGTCCTCTTTTATCCGGACACCTCGCCATCCGGATAAATACAGTATGTGTGTTCGATTATCCGGTTCCCTCACCTATCCGCGAATATATTTGTCGAAAACGGATGTGTGCGGTTATGGTGAGGTCTGACTGTACAACTCCCTGGCTATTGTTACTGTTCACTGGTGTTGGCGTGGGCAGGGGGGATGTTTTCGCCAGTGACTAGTGACGTTAAAACACCGCTATTGTCTACCACTTCCTGGTGTGAACTGTTTAATTATTGCTGATTACCAAAAGTGCAGCTGCATGCAAGCGGTCCCTTTGTAAAAACGCGGACAAGAATTCTGATTTCCGCCGGGAAAAGAGGGTTATTCTGCAGGATATTCTTCAGTAAAATCAAAACTCTGCGGCACTTCAAGTCTGCAAGTTTTTCTTTCTCCTTGGATGTAGAGGATATGCGGAAAGGAGTACTTTACACACTAGCGGTATAGCTATAGCCGTCACCAACTGATTGGGAGTGAAGAATCTTCGAGAGACCTGGGACTCACCTTCACCAAGCTAGACAAGAGCAGTGTGTGAGCAATGTGCTCAGACAAATCCCAAAGTCGCTTGCATTCGAGGGCGTACGGTATGTGAGCTATCACAGAAAATGATGACGTACAAGTAGTTCTGAATACAGTAGAGTCGCGCGCTGAAGAACGCGGAGCCCAAGAACGTCCAGCCTGAAATTCTAAGAACACCACAGCCTAAAAGCAAAGAACGGCGGTGTTGGTTTTCTGGCAGCTTGTGGAATGCATTATGATCCAGTACGGAGTGTTTCTAAGAACGTGCTATAAGAACGCAGCCAGATTGCAGAAAAAATAAGAACGTCCCAGGTAAAGCGGGATTCACAGAAGCTTTTTTGCGATGCGACAGCCGCGAAACCGGGAAATCCCCAAATCGCAACCATCGCGGACCCTACGCAACTGACGCAACTGGGCCATCGCAGGCTATCGCAGAAGTTGAGCTTGGCTCAACTTTTGCGATGCGATGCGACAAGGGATTTGGCGTACGATTTTGACCTTTTCTACAGCAAAGTTGTACAAAGGTGCAAGAGTTGCCTATAAAATTTGTACAAGTTGTATCAAACCGCGCGAATATCATGGTGACGTAGCCAAATCAGCAAGATGTTGTCGCATCACTGACTTCTTCTGTGAATGGTATTTCGCGAGTTCGCATCGCCCGCGTCCGTCGCAGATCGCGTCGCATCGCAAAAAAGGTTCTGTGAATCCCGCTTAAAGGGGAACTCCGGTCCAAAATCACCCCCATTTTTTATTGCGGAATCCATTAGAGTATGTCGTAAGTGGTAGAATGGCGAAAACCGGAAGCTTCTACGACAAGGATAACATACCTAAATTACCAATTGCAATTTTCCATATTTGGCACGAGGGGGCCCCCTCCCACCCTGTGACGTAAAACGTTCTCAGCCCGGTCCACTCAGATGAAATTTTCAAATAATTGAAGCAAGAATGAAAAGTCCTTGGCCATTGTTGAAGTGCTTGTTGTTCTGTGCCATGCCCGATTTATTGTCACGACTCGCTGCTGCGTCTCTGGATGCAACAATGTCACGAAGAAAGAGGCGCCTGCGGGCTGTCGTAGCATGGCTTTCCTCTGGCTGACGCGAACCTGACGACAGCTTGGCTATGGAGAGTATGTTGGAAGGATTTTTCTCCGACGAAAAATAATCGTGTCTGCACTGAGCATTTCACTGAGATGTGCTATGAAAGAGATTTCCAACAAGAGTTTGCACAAAGCATTGGTGGCTATAAGCAGAAGCAGCAGCGACGCTTGAAGCCAGGGTCTCTGCCATCCTGAAACTTGGCGGTGCATGTCATACTAATAGTTAGTAGCTCCTCTACCTCTGCTGCCAGCAAAAGCAGACCATCTTCGATTTACTTCCAGGAACGTGAGCAAGATGAGGTAAGTGAACGGCATGATTTTGTGCCGTCCAGAACGTAGCTCTAAACGACTACAGTCCTACTCAAAGTCCTCTACTCAAAATCCTAGTCAGTGAAGTCGAGAATTGATGTAATGTACATGGAACGTTATCATGTGTGTTATTTCGGTTCTCTTTATCTGTAAGTTTCCATTGCGTTACTTTCCGGTTGCAGCAACACTGCCACAAATACAAGGTACAGTATGATTTGTAGTCTGGAAAATTTCCATGCTGTCATACTGAAGTGGGCACCAAAACGTGTCCACTTTTCGTACAATGGCATGAGAGCACGGGTACAGTCTGTCCCACAATGCCAATATAGGGAGAGCGCACGCCAAAACCAAGGAGGGTGTGCTCAGGTACAGGCTGGAATACACCAAGAGCACAAAGTGGCCAAGAAGCTGCACGACAATGTCCTGCAACTTCTTGAAGGACCTGTTGAACGATGTGCATACGACCATTCTCGGCATTCGCAACGGCACACGGCACCGGCACAACCCCATGCTCCCGAACACAGTACAGTCTTGTGCCATTGTATCTGTCAACTTTACCAGATTGTTCGTGCAGCTGCATTGGTGCAAAGCATGCGCCCACCCGAAAACACAAATATTGCCCGAGTCAAGAATAGTTATAAATCGTGTCTGTCAACTGTTTTCTTCATTCTGCATGCACATGTACCAATGATTATGTGAACGTCAACCAGGCCAAGAAGCATTATCATCATCATCATCATCATCATCATCATCATGTCCAACTGCTTCCTCAAAGCCCCAGTGCGCATCTGCATTGGCTTCTGGTACAGCTGCTTTATCTTCGATACCACGCAAGACGGTATCACACGCCGCTGCTTGCGTCCAAAGAATCCATGGGTGAACCATGTGTATTGTCTACACGCCACATGTCTCCAAATCCTGCACAAAACAGTTGGAGAGATGTAGATACACATACCACGAGTGTCTTCATGATTGTGTAAAAGGAAATAGTTTCAGTGTAAATAGTTTCGGATTCGAGTTAATATTTCTATGGGCTACTATACTAAAGACACGTTGGCCTTTTTTCAAATTTACATCACTTTTACACACAGTTGAAACACTTACAGTGCTAGGAATAGTATGAATGAAAGACATCGTTGTTTCAGTATAATTATATTGGCATGGGTGCAATAGAACTTCATGATTGTGTGATGGAAGTTGGTGAATTTGAATACTGTACACAAAATCATTGCACAACACTTCCCATCTACTTTGTACCGGTACATGAAACATGGAAAGAAAGGAAATAATGAAACCGATTCAGTGAATCCTCACCTGTTTGACCACGGCCCACACCTTGCCCGAAATTCTTCGAAGGAAAGCAATGCCACCTCGAGCACTGATTTTTGCAGGCAAACAACAGCAAACTCTGAGTGCTGCGTGACGCACTGCAGCCGTTCCTGCTCGCCGCGTTTACTGAAAGCTGCAGGAACCTCCCAGCAACAAGTCGACTCGACCTCGCTCCACATCATGCTGCATTGTCCGCAACGGCATCAAGCAGTGCTTCTCACGCGAGCACTTGCAACCAAAGCGTTCTCTTCACGTTCATCTGTTTTGTAGTCTCAGAAATATTACTTGTAGACAGTTTCGCAGACGCTGATGCGCGCTTCGGCTCGAACCTGAAAGGCCTCGGTGTTGTTGAATCCGAAGTGGCGTCCACCTCCACACCTCCCGTGGTCTCCTCTTCCTCCAACATGATGATCGAATGAATGCTAGTACAAGGGTTATTGATTGAAGAAAAAACAGTGAATACCTTTTTCAAAATTTCTGCAGGTCTACCATTTGAATAAAAAAATTTGGAGGTCACTGAGAACGTTTTACGTCACAGGGTGGGCGGGGGCCCCTCGTGCCAAATATGGAAAATTGCAATTGGTAATTTAGGTATGTTATCCTTGTCGTAGAAGCTTCCGGTTTTCGCCATTCTACCACTTACGACATGCTCTAATGGATTCCGCAATAAAAAATGGGGGTGATTTTGGACCGGAGTTCCCCTTTAAGTTTAACCCCTTGGAAACAACGTTCTTGGGCGCGCGACTCTACTGTAGGATGTAGGAGCTGCATGCACACTGCTATACTGGCTGCGGGGATCATAGACTATGAATTCTAGGGCATGTTCGATTGGTAGGATCGGGATCCCGATCCACTGGATTCGCACCCTTTCGATTGGTCGAATCCGGATCCTTCGGTTTTGGATCCGGTCAACCCACCTCGGGGAGCAGGGTTGACCGGATCCAAATGTACCCTTTGTGCGTATATCGCGGGTAAAAATTCATGTTTGTACACATTGTGGTACGCACACGTGGATGGAGATAGAGCTTGCTGACTTTTTGTACGACGCACGCGATGAGTACGGCGTTCACCCTTTTGGGTGCCTTGTGAGCGCCATTTTCAACATGGCAACAGTCAAGGTCCAAGATAAAGTGTTCAGTTGAATCTGGAGGATCCGAGGGATCTGAGATCTGGATCCCGATCCTTACCAATCGAACATGCCCCTACAAGATGCACCTGCAAACAAACACTCCCCCGCCAAGTTTTCACCTGGAAACACTGAACCAGTGGGCAGACGCAAAAATCAGCATCAAGATTGAAACCAGCAGCAGCAACAGCACATAGAGAGAGAGAGAGAGAGGGGGAGAGGCTGGGAACAAAAGGCACCCTGCAAGTCCTCTCTCAAACAGAAGAAGCAAAAAGAAAAGAACTGCTCTGTCAGAAAGCTGAGAATTAAACCGGAATCAGCTGGTACATAATGTCTTTTTAGCTCGAGTATGTTCCCATATCAAAAACAATAGTGGATGGTTGGGCGCAATTTACCCTGAGCACGCAGAGGAGCGAAACCAACTAGAAGGAAGAGTGAAAAGGCAGGCAGGCAGTGCGGTGGCATACAATACAATTCACTGTACAATGCACTGTACCGCAAGGCCAGGCCAGATCAAGCACACAACTATCTACGGCATACAGTCACTTGACCAATCACACCCACCCACAGTCTCAGAGTCTCCTTGAGGCGCAACCAGGACAGACAGCGTAGAGCATGCTATGTGCAAAGAGCACCGCGGCGGCGGACAGCAGAGCCGGCCGGCACTAGAAAAGAGGAAAGCGGCGAAAACTTCATCAAAAAACGCAAGAAAGTATATAACAGTGAAAGCAGCTTTCAGTTTCTGGTGCTCGGAGGCGAGAAACGTGCGCCCAACACAAGATGCCTGCCATTCCGGACCAGGAAGGAGAGGCGAGCGGCGGACACAGCAAACACATAATCCGTCTCGTTTCTCCCAGCTGCGCAGCACCCGGCGCCTAGGTGAGATGTGCACACCTACTTACCACCGAACACACACACACACACATTAAGAGGCCGATATCAAAAACACCGCAGCCACTCGCTGTGCACGCGGCAGCAGGGCGCGGGCACACACACACACACACACCAGCAGCAGCATCCTTGAAACTAATCGTCGACATCGCGCCGTAACGCCTAGACACACGCCGCACAAGCCACCAAACAGGGGGGGAGAGGCGCCGCGGGCACTAGCTTAGCTGCTGGCCGCCTCCGCGGGAGCTGCTTCAACCTCATCCTCGGCGGCCGCCGCCGCCTTGTCTTCAAGATCGGGCATGCCTGCAGTGGACGAGAAAGCACACACACACATACACACACAAAGAACACGTTCGGCTCAAACAAGTCATCTTTAGGGCTACAGAGGTGAAGTGACAAGTGACAAACCTCGACTGCCACCTGGCAACGAGCAACTCTGATCTTCATACAGCTACACTGTAAGTGGAAGCCTGTTGTGTGCTGTAAAGCGATAAACTTTCGCGGTGCGCAAAGTTTGCATTTTCATGAATTGGGCCGGTTCACGATGAGAAACTTTGGCAGTTTTATCTCTTCATTTGGATCTGTTACTGTCTACAATCAATGTACAGAGTAGGGGTGAAACGAGTGCCAAAATTGGGGACTCGAGTACTCTTTGAAAAACGAGCAAGTATTCGAGCGAGTACAAGTATTTTACTGGCAACATAAAACAATGCACTGCACACTCTCTCGCAACACCGAACGTACTACACCTGATACACATGTAGCCTTGCATGCAGCCTAGTGCAGGAAATAGTCTGAACTACTGTCGTTTGCTGGTAAGTAGGGACAAGCAATAATGTTGCGCTTGCATGGGCCATCAGTACCAGTCAGAGTAACAGAAATGCTTGATGTATGTACATACAATACACTGCACATAGGATACTTACCTCGAGTATTTTGAGAAGCGAGTATTTGTTCGTTTCAAATCTTCGAGCAAGCGCTCGAGTATTCGATATACTCGTTTCACCCCTAGTACAGAGCAGTTTGCGGCGATTTATATTCGCGAATGTGCGATGGTCGCGAAAATAGCGAAATTTAATCCCTAGCGAAAGTTTCAAACTTTACAGTATGTGCAGACGGATTTCCACTGCAGCTTTTCCTGTTAGGTGACTGAGAGGAAAACCCCACATGGGGAAACGGGTCAGGCAAGTTTCCCATAAATGGACAGTCGGCTCCTGATAAAGCGAACACTATTGTGCAGGAGAATTAGTTTTTATAGCCGAAGTTTGTTATAACAGAAATGCACTGACACTGTGAGTTCAAACTGGGACATCGACACCGGTTCGCTATATTATGCGAGTTCGACGTGGAGTCAACTGTATATTAAATACGGGAGGTAAACCTCCATGTACGAGCAGATCGGTACTCATTGACGTTTATTGAACACAAACATGAGTTGAGCTACAGACTCTACGTGATCTGAATATACACAAGAACGAGCCCCCCTCTCACCCCCCCCCCCCTTGACTACTGTAAAATCGGGAATTTTCGGTATTTCCCAAAATCAACGGTCGGGCGAGCGAACATTTCGCTGAACCAGTTTTCCAGATCCAAAAATGCATTTTACACACTGTGTGACATGGCATGGTTGAATTTTAGATGGCGTTTTATTTTACGTGAAAATTATTACCTGTACCGAAGCTAGACTCGGATGGAGAGGCAAGGATTAAAATTAAAAAGAAACGACCAAAATGCTACAATGTCAGTATTGTGCTAGCTGTTGCACCTTCTGGCTACACAGTAAAGCTGTGTTCACAACTGGCGCGTGTACGCGTGAAAGCACGCGTTTGTGCGTATTTTTGCTGGCTTTTGGGGCGCCATGCGTACGGAAACGCGCCGAAATGGAACTTCCAACATGTTGGAATTTTCGGCGCGTATCCAGGTATCAGGCGCGTATCAGCGTACATGCCAGTCACTTTGACTGGCGGGGTCAATAAATTCGTACTCGAAGGTGTCGCACGCGCTAAATACGACTCGGATTGCTGTTTTTTGTGAAAGGCTGAGCGCGCGTTTGGGCGCGCATGAACCGCAAGCGTACCGCGCCCACGCGCCAGTTGTGAACACAGCTTTACACAGCATCTTGCTTATAACTGTTAGTGTTGGACATAAACTAGGGATAACATGTAACATTTTGGTCCTTTCTTTTGAAACGTACTGAAGTTACCGAAAATAAATCTCCACCGAAATTTTCCGGTTTTACAGTACTAGAATCTGAATCTGGAAAAAACGGGACATACCGTCTGCGTCGCTGTCATCGCTGTCGTCATTGAAGTCTGGTCCACCGAAGTCTAGGTGAATAAGAACATACGGCACGCACACACAGTCAGGCACGCGCACATGATGTGTCACGTAACATTTCACAGATGAACATCTAGCATGCGCAGTGATTTTCCAAGAAACAACCAACCGTACAAATGAAATAAAAAGGTTGACAAAATACTACGTTCCCGTTAGGCACAGGCTGTGATCGTTTGGGTTGACCGGACACGACAGATTCTTGTTGCCAAACCAAGACGTCCGTGCGTAATTGGCGGGTATTAATTATTGTTATACACATGTACAGATAGACATGCTGCAGCATGACATATTCATCAGATTCACAAGACGAATGAAGAGTGCCTTCGGTCGCTATTTTACCGTTGACCGTGAAGAAAGAAACGGTGGGGCGTGAGCAAATGGGATCAATTGATTTTGAGGTCCAATAGATCTGAATCCAGCCAAACAATCATAGCCAAAGTGGGATGTCTCCTGCATGGTTTATCCCCCCGGTCAATGCCACAGAGTGACTACAGGACGATCATAGAATATGCAGAGGCAGTCACTGGGTCTCGATACCACACACACAAACTTCCTGGCACAAGGGCCAGAGAGAAAGTGGTCAGCAGAAACATCAGTGCCCGCTTATTTTACGACGACGTGGAAGGGGAAACACCGCAGACATCCCGGAGGAGTTGGTTCCCAAAGCCACACGGACAGAGCCTTTGGGATGCTAAAGCCCAAGGATGCCCTCGTCAATTAGAAATTATGGTGCAGACCAGTGAACACAAGAGTACAGAAGTGTGTGTGTGTGTGTGTGTGTGTGTGTGTGTGTGTGTGTGTGTGTGTGTGTGTGTGTGTGTGTGTGTGTGCGTGTGTGAGTCCGTGCACATGTGTCCGTGCGCATGTGAGATGAGAGAGACAGAGAAAGAGAGAATGCGTACGGGATATAACACAAGACGCTTACCTGGCATACCTCCCATTCCGGGCATACCTCCCATGCCACCCATTCCTGGCATACCTCCCATGCCACCCATTCCTGGCATACCTCCCATGCCACCCATTCCTGGCATTCCTCCCATGCCACCCATTCCGGGCATTCCTCCCATGCCTCCCATCATCTGAGAAAAAGAGCACAGACCGAAAAACACACATGAAACACACACACACAGACACGCACGGTTTTAGTCAAAGTGCATGAATGAGTAGTTATTCTTCAATCCCACACCCCTCACGGATATCTAGGATGTCTCCTGCATGGTTTATCCCCCTGGTCAGTGCCACAGAGTGACTACAGGACGATCATAGAATATGCAGAGGCAGTCACTGGGTCTCGATACCACACACAAACTTCCTGGCACAAAGGCCAGAGAGAAAGTGATGAGCAGAAACATCAGTGTCCGCTTTCTGTACGACGACGTGGAAGGGGAAACACCGCAGACATCCCGGAGGAGTTGGTTCCCAATGCCACATGAACAGAGCCTTTGGGATGCTAAGCCCAAGGATGCCCTCGTCGACTTATCTACGCCAGGTTTACAGTATCTATGTAGAGCAATGTGAACTACAGAGCACCTGATGTTAACTACAGAGCACTTTTCTTAGTTGAGAAGTCAAGTTTCCGAAATGTGTAAATGGCTGTGTTGAAGTTTGCGGACAATTTTACAAAGCACTTTCTTTGATCAAGGGGTGCCCATACTGCTAAGGTCTACTACGCTCGACCAGGACCCTGTGCAGAGCTGGATCAGGCGTTGCACACTCTGGGGGAGGGGAATATGTACTCTCGCTGGTACTGCTATGGTCTACTACGTTCGACCAAGACCCTATGCAGAGCTGGGTCAGGCGTTGCACACTCTGTGGGAGGGGGGTTATGTACTCTTGATGGTATTGAACTTGCCAAGCAATGTGGAAGTCTGCTGAGGCGGCAGCAGCACTGCGGCGCAGAGACAGTGCGGGCAGCTGCAGCACACTCTCTCGGGGATCATGAAGTAGTCTATACTGTATACATGACATTGTACTACTGTCGTGGACATGGAAATCCGGTCGCACGTCCAGCCGCCCCAGGGCGCTGGCCATGCAGCCGTGGGTAAGCGGTAAGAGCAGACAGTATACGCTGCAGCGCGCTGGTTGCATCGGATCAACATGACTTCGTGCACTGCCTGCAACGCTCTGTACACGCTGAGGGCGCCGGCCCCGGTCAATCGACTGGAGTTCCATGTCCACGACAGTACATGTAATTTTAGGTGTAGTAAAATTTCAGTGTCGGAGATCTGCCAGGTTTCAGGTGTAACTGTAGAATTAGGTGACCAGCGTTCCGGGCACATACAGTGCATACTCTACGCCTTTTAGGTGTAGTCTAAATTTAGGTGCCTGGTGTCTCTACGGAAGTTAAATCATGCTGAAAATAACGTGTTATACAGTACACGGTGTCACGAGTCCAGGCAAGTCGACATACATTGCCGAATCCGGATGTGTCCACGTCCTTGCCATCGTCGGAGTCATCCTCATCTCTCCACTTGTTGAAGTCGACTTTCAACCAATGAACCTAGCCAAGATGACAACACACACAGGTACAGTAAAAACTGTCAAGGCGACCACACGCATAACTCCACCACCTGTCCAAAACGACCAGGTCCAATGGATGTGATTTCCAGTCAAATGACCCTGGATAAGACCATCCGGTTACAGAGACCGTGTTTTGAAGGTCCCTTGAGCGGTCGGCTTAGACGGGGTTCACTAGAACTCAGTGCTTCAAGGAACAAGGATGATGAACAAACTGCAACGGCAAAACAAGTGGCTAGACAATGCACAGTACTGTTTTACAAGCTGGAGAGAGAAAGAAAGTAGAAACAGAAAGCACGAGGAGAGAACACAATGTGACTAGAGAAAAAACCCACGCCAGGGGCATAGCTGGTCCCCCCTTTCAGGGGTGTGTGTGTGTGTGTGGGGGGGGGGGGGGGGTTGCACGGTCGTATATGTGTAGAATGGCTGGTGCATGTCATTCATGGTCGAAATTTTAGGGGGGGGGGGGGGGGTACACGTGCCCCATGCTGCGGGCTACGCGCCTGCACAGACAGCCTCACCTTTTTAGAGTCGGCGAGAAGTCTTGGCCACCAGCCGCCATCGGTGTCTTTCTTGTGGAGGATGACGGCAAGCTCGTGTGGTGTGATGCGCTTCTTGCACTCCTGGCCATCATCATCATCACCATCACCACCCATGTATGTAAACAACACGTGCACACAAAAAACCCAAATATAATACAGAGGTCTAGCATAGGCAGATTAACCGGAGGATGTTCAAGTTGTGTTGACAATCATCCGGCAATTGATACTGGGATTCTACCAAACAGTACACTCACCAACACATCACAAGAGACACAGGCATAAACAAATCCAGCCCTAGATGCACGTGCGCGTTAAGTCTGTTAGCGTCCGCTAGTGGAAGTAAGTGCGAACAGAGACGCTGGAAGAGACAGTGGGCATCAGGCGGGCGGAGGTGTTAGGTGGATGGCAGGTATGATCAAGTATGATCTAAGCCTGGTAGCATCAGGTGGGTGGAGGTATTAGGAGAACGACGAGCGCTAGAGGTCTTTGGGTGACGGGCGGGCGTGAACAGAGTAGCACAGTGTAGCCAAAAGCGTGGGATTGTGAAGGTGGGATTCTCCGGCAAAGTGGAGTGCAGTGATATTTGCCAGTGGGAACTTTTTCTCGCGCCTGCATTTAGAGATCAATTTGTGTGAACGCGCACACTTGTTCCAGGCGTCAGGGCCCCAGCCTCCCCACCCCCTCTGGCGCATGTCACACAACAACGTGGGTTGACTAAAATACTGTATAGCAGGAAATTTTCGGACGGAATGATATTTTCGTACGATTTCGTACACCTTGTACTAAAATTAATTCCGTACTAAAATTTGTTCATGTGACTTTATGTGCACTGTACATGGGTACTGCTTGCGAACACGTGCATTTAGCATGCAGCACTGTACGAAAATAAAATCCGTACGAAAGGTCGAAATTCGGCTCTGTCCGAAAATATTTCCGTCTGAAAATTTCCTGCTATACAGTACTGCATAATTCTATGACAAAGCAAAGACAGACTAGCAGGACCGGACACAACGCGGCAAAACCGAAAGCCATCTCAGACTGCTTGTTGAGCACCAGCTCCTCCGGTGCCATAAAAATGTTGAATTTCACTGCCATGCGTACTAGCAGGTTGTAGTTCTCTGACTCACACCTGTTCAACGTGAATCTCGGTTTCGTCTCAGGACAGTCGTAAATGCTAACGTCATGTGAACGCGACTTCTGTTTGCTAATCCTCATCACAATGCAAAGCGCATATTTCGTCACCGAGTTCCACAACGGAGCGCGAACACAAACACAAAATCCGTCTCGCTAAACCTCTGACATCTTTGGTGGGATCTTCGGTGTCGACAGGCAGGAGGAAACGAGATGAATGTACAGTCAACTTCGCTAATAGCGCCTTCGGATATATGACAGAATGTCCATGCCCAGAGCAAAGTCCCAGCTAACTGTAATACATATAATGAGACTTCTGGTATAAGGACACTTCGCGAACAAGGACAGTTTTCTGATGCCCCGCCGAGTGTCGTCATACGCAAAGTGGACTGTACTTACAGCGGGCACAATTTCGCCATAAAGGCCCAGTTCCACTTTGTACTCGGCGCCCTTTGACTTGGCACTGCAGACGCAGAAAGGACACACACATGGACGCAGACACATACACACACACACACACGATTATGTCAAGGCCAGCAAACAGGCTACAGGTAGACTCTAATTCGAACACAGTATGATTCGAACATGGTGACAGTCAATGTTTTCTTCAGACTTTGATGTCATGCTCGTAGCACCAGTCTGCTGTGGTACCTGTGCAGTGTTGCCAAGTGCCCTCTACCCCCATGCGTACTGCCCAGCGCCATTTTTCAGATTTTTTTGCGTATTCGTTTTTTCAGGTCAACATTTTGACTGATTTAGGGTAATTTGGAAAAAACCCCGATACTGTACAACTTTTCCAGCCGCAGAGTTCACTTGTGAAGCCTACGGATTCAGTACAATTTTCAACTTCACCAGCCTACGGTCGTAACTTTGGTCTACTTCGCGTGAAGTCTAGGGCTCGTTGAAAAGGTCTTGCTGTCCCTGTGGGAATTTGCGGAAAAAACTCTCGAAAACTTGCACAAGAAATCGCGGCAGAAAACAACAAAAAATGCGACGAAAAGTGCGGAATGATGCAGAACTTGCCAGGAATTCGCGGAATTATTTGCAGAAAATTGCAGATTTGGGCCAAATCACGAAAATTTGTTGCATCGTATATCTACTCGGGAGTAGTACGAGTTGTACTGTGAAAATAACCTACAGGATCATGGAAGGAACTGCGTGAAAAGTGCATAAAAATGTGAGATATAGTGCAGAAAACAACAAAAAAGGTGGGAAATCGCGGATTTTGCTGAAAATCGCGGGTTTGGGCCAAAATCGCGAAATTTGTTGCATCCGTGGAATCGCGATTTCCTGGAGGGACAGGTCTTGGCAGGAGCAACGCCAGGATACCAAGCTCCATTATGAAGCCGCCACAAATCAGGCACGGTAACACAGCAAAGTCGTCTCCAAGCCTAGTATGCAAGCAAATTCCTCCCTTCAACACCATTCCACTCTTCTTCATCGCAGAACGGTTTTTTTAGGCGATTCAAACTAACGACGTCACGTATCTTCGTATGTGTTACTTCAGCCGGCTACGTCATTATGATGTGTTCAGTCGCTCAAAGGGATTTTCCCCCAAAAATGCCGAAGAGATCGATCAAAAATTTGGATGTGCCGAGGTAAGAATACTCGTAAAGTCCTGTATAAAAGCCGCGCCTTCTGACTTTCTTGGTGAAATTTTGCAGGCTTCTATACAAGACACGTATTTCTATGTATGTCAACACTAAAACCAGGCCTATGTGTGATTTGATGGGTCCAAAACTGCGGCTTCTATTCAAGTGCGGCTTTTATACAAGATTTTATGGTACCTGAATACGGCACGAGATATCTCTGGAGTCCGACATCGTAACTCTTCGGCGATTGTTGCATTGGACAGCTTGGAGTTTGCGCTACCACGTAGACCCTTTGATTGTTGAATGTGGGCAAGAAACGATGAAGTTACGAAGTTTTTAGTACCGTATTTTTCGGAATATAGTGCGCACCCCCCAATCTTCATTGGGGGTGCGCACTTCAATCTTCATTGAAGTACATGCATTTCATATTCGGAGCATAGTGCGCACCTGCGATTTAGGGCCTAAAATAGCACATCTAAAGTGCGCACTATACTCCGGAAAATACGGTAGTCGATCATACACGATCGTTTGCGGGATAATTCGATAGAAATCCGTACTGCGGACAAAACTTCGTTTTTCCGTAAAAATACGGACAAATACGGGCGGTTGGCAACACCGACTGTGATATAGATCGGTTACATCAGGGAGCCTGCAGGCAAAATACGAGCATGTATTTGGGCCAAAAAGTTTCCAAAAGTCTTTCGCAACTTTCAAAGAATTTTCCCGTAATTTTCCGTGGGGACAGCTACATAGCGGAACACGGATCCGCATGCAGTGTACGTTAGGCTTTCCTTACATTGAAAAAAACGTAATTACGTTGTGCGGAACCTCTCTAAAATCCGCAGAACCACTTGCAAGCTTCCATTGAAATTTTTAAATAAATGTAGTTTCCGTTCGGATGTAAGAAATGTTCATGTAAAAGAGTGCGACCTAAGTTATACACTCAACCAACGGCTCGCATTATGTGGATAAATTTAGGCGTCTTGGGAAACTGAAACATTTACAAGTTAAAAACTTATTAGAAATTGATTCATTTTGAAAATGAGAAACTCTCAAAGAGAGAAGTAATGACCACTGGGAACCTCTCGCGCACAAACGCATCAGAGAGCTTACGCCATGGTGAGCGATGAATCTGTCATATCGATATTTACATCGGAAGCGTCCAGCAACTGGAATGTGACAAACACAACGTCAGCTCTCTGAGCCCAGACTGCGGCAGGTTTTCTCCTGAACAAATCCATGGCGGAAACCCAAGAAAACAAGGACAGTAGGTCAATGGTACCTCCTACACAGACAGAACCCAAAGACGTGTTATTGACTCACTCGGAAGCCATTATCAAAGATCTTCAAGGGGATAAGTACAATGGAAAGATGAACACGACGCTAGCAAGTGTGTTGTTTGGATTTGGGAAGAAACTACTTTCTACTCTGCCTGAAAACTCGTGCACGGAAGTCAGGAATTATATTCTCGCTGATCACTTTTTTCTTCTATTTCTTTTCGATTTTAGATGTCATTTTTGCACTTAGAGCGCAGGCGTAGTCGCACCATGACGACGATCGCGACAAAAATCTTGCGACGCCATTTTGTCGTTCTCTTTTCTCCTTCTCTTTCTTTTACCAACGTCGAACAGGGAAGGTAAGTAGCCATCGTCTTTACCCATGGAAAAGTACTCTTGAAGCTGGTAGCTGAGGTGTTCTGAGAGCTATTCTATTCTCGTGTTGCTGTTTGGCATTGGCGAAACCCAGATGGGCAAATTCTTGAAGCCCGGTAAGGTGGTGATCGTCCTCAACGGACGTTACGCTGGCAAGAAGGCCGTCATCGTCAAAGCCAACGATGACGGAACTTCCGAGCGCCCTTACGGACACGCTCTCGTTGCTGGTGTCGCCAAGTACCCATTGAGAGTGAAGAAGTCCATGGGCAAGAAGAAGCAGGCTCGCCGATCCCGAGTCAAGCCCTTCCTTCGTGTGGTAAACTTCAACCATCTGATGCCCACTCGGTGAGTTTTTTGTTCACTGTGCAATTTTCAGAGCATTCTGTTTTGCCAAGAAATCGTTCCAAATACTAATATAGTTTCAAAACATGTTCGTGAATCGTTATGCAGGTCAGGAAAGGGTATTGAAAATGGGAATTAAATCTTGATCAGTATTCTCACTCTGTCGTAATTCATTCACATTTTATCACTCGTACAATATTAATTATACTTAGTATGTTCATATTTTGGTAGCCAAGAGCATGCTATTTGTTAGGCTTCTGGTGGCGAAGGCAATATCCCCATGGCGCATGAATTAGTATGCATGAAACAAGTGCTGTAATAGGAGTCTTCAGCTTGCGAAGTTCAAAAGTTAGATTGTGTGTACATTTTGAATATTTGCTGGCGGAAAACATTTTCGATCATCAATTCCTACACACATCACGCACACACACATACCACACAAACACACACACACATAACACACACACAATCAGTTGCGAATCTTCTCCATACATACTTAGGTAATTTCCCAGAATTGGTCCTTACTTCACTTGACCTGTTGACAACTTCTCTGTGCGAATCTGAGTGAGCTGTGTTGGTGCATTTTGGTATTTACCCATGTGTCCATATTATCTTGTCGTCGCGTCGGTATGTAGTAAGTGTTAGTGACATTATTTTATCGTCGAGGATATCCTTTGGGCTTAGCTTCCCAAAGGCTCTGTTCATGTGGCGTTGGGAACCAACTCCTCCGGGATGTCTGCGGTGTTTCCCCTTCCACGTCGTCGTACAGTAAGCGGACACTGATGTTTCTGCTCATCACTTTCTCTCTGGCCTTTGTGCCAGGAAGGTTGTGTGTGGTATCGAGACCCAGTGACTGCCTCTGCATATTCTATGATCATCCTGTAGTCACTCTGTGGCACTGACCGGGGGGATAAACCATGCAGGAGACATCGTTTTTGTATAGTTAAACAGTTGCTTTGGTATTTTGGGGACCGTTGAATGGGCTTGAAGTCTATTATACTTCTGTTTTCATTTTTTCACCTGTGCTATTTGTTCATCTTCGTTCTGTCTCTTATTACCTCAGCTATGCTCTTGACGTTGCTGTACCTAAGGAGGTAGTCAATGCTGCCGCCCTCAAGGACCGCTCACTCAAGGTCAAGGCCTACCGGGAAGTCAAATCCAGGTTCGAGGAGAGGTAAGAATCGTGTGCCAAACCTACTAGGTCTTATGATTTTTCCTCTTTAGGCGCACCAGAAGTACCTTTCAGTGTCGTGTTGTTGTGGGTTCCATCAAGAGTACATGTGTGCTAGCGCTAATGGTTATCTGGCACGACTTATTTTCAAGATATTAGCAGCCCTGTACATTCATGTGAGCTACAAAGTTGACCAGCATCAGTGCCCTTTTCTGTATAGTCAGGTGTATTACACCAAGAGTACGTGAAAACCAGAGTGTGCAGCTCGGATGGGTTGCTGTCACGGCGAAATTCCGTGATTACATCATTTTAGTGATGTAGTGCGTACAAGCAGGATTCAAGCAGGTCTCTTTCTGCACAACTGCAGCTCAGTTGTACGCACTATGCCATTTCCCGCCTCGGATCTGCACCAAATATGATGTAATCACGGAATTCCGCCGTGACAGACACCCTTAGCAGAGAAGACCCCAAGCTGCACACTCTGGTTTTCATGTACTCTTGATTACACGGGTTTCCACCCTGAAAAATGGCGGAAATGAGTCTTGCCAGGTGTGATGTTGAGTTGATCTGATCCATTAAATTGACGAGGGCATCCTTGGGCTTAGCACCCCAAAGGCTCTGTCCGTGTGGCTTTGGGAACCAACTCCTCCGGGATGTCTGCGGTGTTTCCCCTTCCACATCGTCGTACAGTAAGCGGACACTGATGTTTCTGCTTCTCACTTTCTCTCTGGCCTTTGTGCCAGGAAGTTTGTGTGTGGTATCGAGACCCAGTGACTGCCTCTGCATATTCTATGATCGTCCTGTAGTCACTCTGTGGCACTGACCAGGGGGATAAACCATGCAGGAAACATCCTTATATTGATTTTAGTGCAGGGCAAATAGCTTTGCTTGTGTGTCTGGTAAACCGGAGTTCATAAGCAGTAGCAAGTAATGCTTTGAAGTCTGTGTGCCACGCACTAGCCGATATCCACATTTTCATAGTCTTGTTTATGGACTCGGCTTATGTGAGCTAGGGTGCAGCTTTTCTTTGATAAGATCCTTGCGTACGTTTTAGGACAGCCAGAACGATCTTTGACTGATGTCATCTTTACCCTGCCAATGTGAACTGGTTTTGTAACAGGTACTGTTTTGCTGCTATCTGCTATTCTGTTCCTGTAGATACAAGACTGGCAAGAACCGCTGGTTCTTCTCCAACCTCCGCTTCTAAATAAATACTAAAAACCTCACTAATACAGTGTTCTTGTGTCAGTGTGTGTGGTGCATGGGTCTGTTTACGCTAATGTGGAATTCTGTCCTTATTGGCATTGTGAATTTGCTGGTGCCATGCTGCTGATTGAGTGTATTCTTCGTGAAATGGCTTGCATGCGTTGCCTTCGCGGAATTTGTGAGTTTGTGAGTTTTTACCAGAAAGCTTGCATGACCAAGAAAGTGCAACTCGACGGTATTCTGTCCCATGCCAAGCTGATGGTGTCCTCCATGGGCAGACACCGGTAGTGCAAGTGACTTGTGCATGACTGCATGTAGTATTCTGTCCCATGCCAAGCTGATGGTGTCCTCCATGGGCAGACACCGATAGTGCAAGTGACTTGTGCATGACTGCATGTATCTACGCCTATGGTCGAGAGTACTCTTGCTATGGTAGTAAGCGGGAATCAGGCAGGCGGTTCATGCGAACTTGCTACTGAAGCTGCATGCCATTGCTGTGCTTTTCTAAACATGTTCCAATGGATGCTGCAAAAGAATTTCACTCTGGGGAGTCATGCATGTGAGTCAAGGAGTTTGCCAAACTGTGTCTATTTCTTCCATCCATCTCTGCTGCTAAAATGAAATCCTATACAGTAGAGTCGCGCGCCCAAGAACGTTGTTTCCAAGGGGTTAGCCTGGGACGTTGTTCTTATTTTTTCTGGAATCTGGCTGCGTTTAAGTTATAGCACGTTCTTAGAAACAATCCGTACTGGATCATATGTATTCCACAAGCTGCCAGAAAACCAACACCGCCGTTCTTAGCTTTAGGCTGTGATGTTCTTAGAATGTCAGGCTGGACGTTCTTCAGCGCGCGACTCTACTGTACAGTGTGTCAGCCTTTACTCCCAGTCCCATTGAAAAGTACGGTGGACATAGCGCTTGACCTGTACATGTAGTGTACAGTGAGAGGCTTTCGCGATAATTTATGACACATTCGCGAATATAAATCGCCACAAACCTGTCACCTTCCTGCTTTTTGGAGAAACGCGGCCAAGAATTCAAAATTCCATGGGGAAAAGGGGTGTTTTCTGCAGTAAAATCAAAAATTCTGCAAGTTTTTCACCCTCCTTGTAGAGGATATGACAACCAGTTGCATGAAGGAGTACTGTTCACACTATCCTTTGCAGTCACAAACTGAATTCGAGTGAAGAATCTTAGGGCATGTTCGATTGGTAAGGATCGGGATCCAGATCTCAGATCCTTCAGATTCAACTGAACACTTTATTTTGGACCTTGACTGTTGCCATGTTGACAATGGCGCTCACAAGTCACCCCAAAGGGTGAACGTCATACTCATCGCGTGCGTCGTACCAAAAGTCAACAAGCTCTGTCTCCATCCACGTGTACGTGTGCGTACCACAATGTGTACAAAAATGATTTTTACCCGCCATATACGCACAAAGGTCACATTTGGGGCATGTTCGATTGGTAGGATCGGGATCCCGATCCACCGGATCCACTGGATTCGCACCCTTTCGATTGGTCGAATCCGGATTTGGATCCGGTCAACCCTCCTCGGGGAGCAGGGTTGATCGGATCCAACGGATCCAAATGTGACCTTTGTGCGTATATGGCGGGTAAAAATCATTTTTGTACACATTGTGATACGCACACGTGGATGGAGATAGAGCTTGTTGACTTTTTGTACGACGCACGCGATGAGTACGACGTTCACCCTTTTGGGTGCCTTGTGAGCGCCATTTTCAACATGGCAACAGTCAAGGTCCAAAATAAAGTGTTCAGTTGAATCTGAAGGATCCGAGGGATCTGAGATCTGGATCCCGATCCCGATCCTTACCAATCGAACATGCCCTTGGATCCGGTCAACCCTGCTCTCCGAGGTGGGTTGACCGGATCCAAATCCGAAGGATCCGGATTCGACCAATTGAAAGGGTACGAATCCAGTGGAACCGGTGGATCGGGATCCCGATCCTACCAATCGAACATGCCCTTAGGAGAGACCTGCACTCCCCTCCACTGGCAAGAGCAATGTGCTCAAACAGATCGCAAAGTAGGTTTCTGCTGCTTTCTGAGTCATGATTTTACGAATTTACCCTAACAAATTCCGATTCCGCGGGCAAAAGTGTGGATTTCAGTGAGCGCAACTGCCCACTGAAATCCGATCAAGAGTACATAAAACCCGGTTTCATTTACTCTTGATCCGACCCAAAGTGCAAAGCTGGCGCCCTGGACCAGTTCCGACTACATCATTGTCGGCATTTGTACATGTGTACAGTACGTCCAGCCGCATTCTTTCCACTTCCAGGAGGTCAAGGGACGCGGAAGTTCGAGGCTGCCGGCTTTGCACTTTGGGTCGGATTTCAGTGAGCGCATCTGGATTACTGTAAAACATGTAATTTTAGGTGCATTAAAATTTCGGTGCCAGGGACCTGTCAGGTTTCAGCAAGAGTACATAACCCCCCAGAGTGTGCAACGCCTGATCCAGCTCTGCATAGGGTCTTGGTCGAGCGGAATCGGATCTTTGCGTCATAATACCGTACACATCTGAGGGGAACCCGGGAAGTCGCGGCTACTCTTGGATCAAAAACAATGGTGCCCTGCCTCGAGACCGGCCTTGCGCTGGTGTGAAGTGTACGCATGACATCAGAAGATCCGATTCCGCTCAACCAAGACCCTACACAGAGCTGGATCGGCGTTGCACACTCAGGGGGGTTATGTACTCTTGGTTTCAGGTGTAATTTAGAATCAGATGACCCGGGTTCCCTTCACATACAGTGCATACTCTAGTGCCTTTTAGGTGTAATTTAAATTTAGGTGCCTGGTTTCTCTACCGAAGTCACCGGAATTAAAGTTACACCGAAAATGACATCTTTTACAGTATTTCACTTTCTAGTTTCTACGCATGCTACTGGCAGAACCAGCCGCAGCTAACCGTCATCAAGACTTCGTGTAGTGTTTCAGAGTGTACCTTACTCATCCTACAAAGTAGTCAGCACAAGACGGAAGCCAGTAACAAAAAAAAACACTAAACAGAAATAACGTAAAGACGAGGACGTCACTATAAGAAACAAAAGGGTGCATCGAAAAACCAGTAAACCCCTCTCTATTATTGTACAATACCGGAAAACCCTCTCTAATCGTATCGGAAAATCAGGAAAACCCTCTCTAATCGTATCGGAAAATCGGGAAAACCCGCTAAAGTCACACAAAACCCCTCTCTATTATTGTACAATACCGGAAAACCCTCTCTAATCGTATCGGAAAATCAGGAAAACCCTCTCTAATCGTATCGGAAAATCGGGAAAACCCGCTAAAGTCACACCTAAACGTTGCCTCGCGCACTGGGCCAGGGCAAAGAGAACATCAGTCTACTTGTGCTATGCATGTAAAAGAGGTCTGATAGCGGACCCAGGCCGTACCCAGAGCTCTACATTACGGAGAGAAGTTAGTTGAACGGCTGCAGTGGTATTCTTAAAAACCCAAGATGAGCAAACGCCCAAGACTAAACATGATCATCCTACGAACAAAAGAAGACTAGGTCAGAGAAGAAAAGCAGGAGAATGTTGCCACGGTAACCTTGCACTAACAGAATACATGCGTAGTGGGGGGAGCGCATCAATAATTTCCTGCCTTGCCGCATTGACGGTAAACTTGCCTAAAAGCGAAAATGACCAAAAGACTGTCTTCACAGGCTTGCGTGGGCCGGGAAGGGGTACTGGGTCGTGCTGTTGTAACGACAGTTCGCCCTTCCCTCTCCCACGCCTACGTTGGGCTCGCAGCCACAAGAGCAGCTATTTGAAAAGCAGAACATGTGAGGACAACGATAGGGTTCTAACTGAATGTGTCACTCCAGATGAGAGCCTGCCAGTCGCTGGTCCTCGTCGGTCTAGGCGCGTGATGCAACCAGAGCCTGAAATCGGACACACACACACACACACACACACGCACATATGTGTGCATGCACATACGAATGCATGCACGCGTGCACACACACACACACACACACCACACACAAACACAAACACACTACTATCAAATGCTGTAGAACAGCGTCCGGCAAAGCACACAAAACCACACAAAAGCATAGCTATTCAGCCCATAAACAAAAGGACGAGAAGTTTTCTTCTTTCCGAAACATACAGTTACAGAACTCCCTGTAAAAAAGGCTAATTTTGGCCGGTAAACACTGGGACTCTGCGAGAGTCGCACGCACACACGCCGACCGAAAAGAGCAAACGCCCCCCACACACACCCTCAGGCGGCAAACTCACCTTAGAAACATCCACCCCGGTCATCTTCTGCACGGTGTCTGGCAAGTCGGTGACCACGTCGAGGATTTCACGCGTCATCTTGTGAATACCAACCTCACCGCCTTCACCGGATACCATGACGATACGCTTGGTTTCGCACACGGGCGCGGCCACTTCCGCCACAACCTAACAGCCACAAACACGGACAACACAAGCACACTACCATGTAAAAGTGTACTTGTAGAAAGCAGTGCAATTTGAGGTGCGGCTGTTAGCCCACAACATAACTGGACATAATAAAGCTGCAAGAAGCGTCGAAACTCATCATGGATAAACACAATAACATGCATGCATGTTTGAATGCACATACAAACAAAATATCCAGGGAAACTCGGATAAGATGCGCCACCGCGGGGAATGGGAAAAAGTACAATCCTTCAGCAGGGGCCAACAAATTATCTGAAACACACGCGCACGCACACACACACACGCACGGACGCACGCACGCACGCGCGCGCACACACACACACACACAGAATCACGGAGAAAGTGCACACATCCTAGCAGTCCAAACCAGCGACTTACTCTTGGCAGGTTATCGAGGACCATGTCAACCATAGCTGCATCCTGATATTCCTTCCATGCGTCCGCCTTGCGGGCCATCTGCTCAGCTTCAGCGTGAGCTTTGGCCTCGATTGCGTAGGCCTGGGCTTCACCTTGCAGCTATGGTGGCCATATGCAGGAAAACACACACACACACACACACGAAATGGTCTTCGCGGATTCTGACGCTTTGCAGACGCAGCAACCACCACACCGCGTCCTATAGTCAGACAGACGCGACCACAACAACCACTTCACGGCGGCAGGACGGACATCCGTCATCTCCTCAATAAACTCTACGCGTGTAACGTGTGCAGTGGGTGCGTTCGATTACTGCCACACATCGATTCGTGAATGGAATCTCGTCGTTCGATTTTCATGTCATGAGCCCTGGAATCGGTTCGGCATCCATTCACCCTATTCACATGGGGTGATGTGAATAGCCAGGGGCGATTCATGATTGGATTTAACATCGATTCGCGGCCACAATCGAATGCACGCCGTGTGAACGGTATTCTCGGTGTTGTGCTCCTATATTATGTGTCACCATGTGCTCATCAGGACCGCCGAAAGCAGTTTTTGATTGGTCCGGTAGTATCAAGGCCGTTCATACAGTTTGTGTATGATATGGAGGGTATACACATGACTTTCATACAGTTTGTGTATGATATGGAGGGTATACACATGACTTTCATACAGTTTGTGTATGATATGGAGGGTATACACATGACTTTCATACAGTTTGTGTATGATATGGAGGGTATACACATGACTTTCATACAGTTTGTGTATGATATGGAGGGTATACACATGACTTTCATACAGTTTGTGTATGATATGGAGGGTATACACATGACTTTCATACAGTTTGTGTATGATATGGAGGGTATACACATGACTTTCATACAGTTTGTGTATGATATGGAGGGTATACACATGACTTTCATACAGTTTGTGTATGATATGGAGGGTATACACATGACTTTCATACAGTTTGTGTATGGTATGGAGGGTAGTCACATGACTTTCATACAACAGTTTGTGTATGATATGGAGGGTAGTCACATGACTTTCATACAGTTTGTGTATGATATGGAGGGTAGTCACATGACTTTCATACAGTTTGTGTATGATATGGAGGGTATACACATGACTTTCATACAGTTTGTGTATGATATGGCGGGTATACACATGACTTTCATACAGTTTGTGTATGATATGGAGGGTAGTCACATGACTTTCATACAGTTTGTGTATGATATGGAGGGTAGTCACATGACTTTCATACAGTTTGTGTATGATATGGAGGGTAGTCACATGACTTTCATACAGTTTGTGTATGATATGGAGGGTAGTCACATGACTTTCATACAGTTTGTGTATGATATGGAGGGTACACACATGACCTCAACAGTGGGAAACATGTATCGGTGGCCAACACGTTGGTCCGGTGATAACCAGACCAACCGGACCGGTTCCGGCGGGTCTGCTCATGTCGGTAGCAAACTAGCAATGCACCTGCACCGTTGTGTGTTTCGCTTCCAAGTGGCGTCACGCGTATACACACCCACCCACCCACCATCAACACCCACCAACGCATGTAAGCAGAAATGCCACCCCCTCCCTCCTCCCCCCCCCCCCCCCCCCCCCCCGCATGTACACACGCACGCATACAGCCAGACCGAGCAAATACCTTGACAGCCTCAGCCTCTGCTGCAGCCTCCAACACAGTCCTTTGCCTGCACACAATGGAACAAAGCATGGATCAGAGAGAGAGACGGCACAAGAAACTCGGTAATAGATTACAACATCTGTATCAAAGAGACTTGGTCAGACATGTCCATTCCAAAGATGTCAATGTATCAGCCCATTCAACCCCCCCCCCCCCCCAAGGAGAGGGTTGAAATTAGGGCTCAAACGGTTACATGTAGTCCGATTAACCGGTT